ATCTGGGTTCTTATGCTGGTGTAATTCTGAAATTACTCTATTTAGTACTACAGTAGCAGTATCCTTGTTCTTCTTCTTCCTTATCTCATTTAAATGTGTTAGTACTTATTTAATATCTATATATAAAATTATTATTATATTTTTAATATTGAATAATAATTCAATATTAATCTATTTAACATCTAATTTAATTTCTTCACCTATATATTATGTACTCATTAAATTTTGATTTTGTACCACAACTGCATTAAAACAGCCACACGTTGTTAAATAGCATCTACAAGAACATGACATTTGCCTACCTCGTCACCAATATTTTTTCCAACCCTAACTGTGAAATTTGTCACACATTTTTTATGATAAACCTAGTCCACTTCAAGTACATGTTTATTACAATTTTTAATTGAATTCACAACATTATTAAATGATTGAAACTAATTATTTTTCAATAATATGAAAATTGAAAGTCATTCACATATTATTTTATCAAAAATCATTTTAGTATTTAGGGTAAATTACAAACACTCCCTAAGGTAAGGTTAAATTACACACAAAAAACCCTCATTTTGGGTAATTAAAATTAGCCCCTCAACTACGAATCTTCGTACACATCCACCCTTATGGTGTCAAATTCAACATAATCTTCTAAATTCCGTGGAATGTTCTCTAGTTTGTACTCGTTTTGTGCAAATATATAGTTTCAGATGTACCACAATCTGATATATACAAGCCAAAAAACAGATTTTATGATCATTTTGCTTCAAAATGTGGAGCTCGAATGAGATAAAATGGATACAAACTTGAGAATATTCCATATAATCTAGAAGATTCCACTAAATTTCACATCGCATGGGTGGACGCGTAAGAAAATTCATAGTTAAGGAATGGTTGTAATTATCCAAACAGGAAGGATTTTTTCATAGTTTGACCTTATCTCAAGGATGTGATCGTAATTTACACTAATATTTAATATGTAAAAAAGAAAAAGACCACTAGGCTGATTGATGGTAACGTTGCGTACAAAAGATAGTCTCACAAAAAGTGCTTTCAACAACTGGAAATAACATATAACTAGCATGACCGATTCCCAGTGGGCAATGAAACTTCAATTAGAAAGCCCAACAAGTTATTCTATACTTTGTTTATTTATTTATTTACTTTACTTTCTTTCCATTTCTATATCAGCATCTAATTCGTCAAAAACTATTGCATAAATAATCTCATGGAAAAAGTTCTGAAAATGGATACAGCCAATCCCTTACTATCTTCAGTGGGTACGCATCGAAATTCCTAGATAAATTGGCCGGGTGGGGGGGCCATGGCCCCCACCGCTCTCGAAAGTCTATATTTTATGCAGATTTGATACTTAATCGAGTAATGTAGGTGGCGCCTAGAATTATCTTTAGTCTATATTCGACGTCTCTGAACAAAAAATCCTGATAAGGTTGATGTTTATAGTAGCATCAAGATCAATTCAAATCTGCTAGTTCATACACACAAAAGCATGACATCCACGAACAAGAAATCAGGGCAAGCAATAAAGATATATGGCCGATAAATGAATAAAAGGAATATTGTGTGAAAGAAAAACGATTTCCATACCGAGTACCACTCATCAAGCTTTTTATTTATCCGATGAGTAAAACGGTGAATATCCTCGTCGGAAGAGTCTGACGATGAAACACGTTTAAGCTTGCCCTAGAGACCATTTAACATAACATAAGAAAAACGTCAAACTTCGGAACTTACTGATTATCGAATGAAAAGGGAAAAGTAATTAAAAGTTAAGAAAGACAAATTACCTCAGTTGACAACATTAACAATATCCGTTCTGTTCAGCAAACTACGGCAACTGTAATTTATACTTGTCTTAGGTTTTTTCAATGGAAGTTCCTTAATCTTGCCCTGTTGCTTGCAATAAACGGAGGCAGTTGATCCCCCATTCCTCACGAAGATAAGGTGAGCACTATTTCGCTACCTTCTTATTTGCATGCAAAGGTTTCATTTCTTGATAATTTACACTATCAAACTTTGTCTTGATCACTACACACCGAATTGTCGTTTTAAAAGTTCTGCATTTTCTGTAGCAACCCTAGTATGCAGGAAGTTCCAATAAAAATCGAAAAATCCCAACAAAACACTTGGCCACTTGAAGATTACCTACAGTATCAAGTACTTTCTTTCTCTTTATCATCATTAAACCGATCGCTCAAAAATCCAAGGATTTTGAAGTCCCACACAATCTTAGATATCTTATCTTGAGGCAAGCACAAACCTTGCTTCTTGACCGACTTATTCAGTTCACAAAAGAATTTAGCATCTTGCAATTTGATATACTCACGCAACAGTTTCTCATGATCGGGAACCCAATTCCTAGGAAAAGGAGTATAATCGCACGATGGAATATAAGACATGCGAGAAAATTGAACGCCTTCAATGGCATCCACAAGCCCCATCCTCAAAAGATCAGAATACTCGGGAGCAGAATTGTTACTACTCTCCCTCAACGGACGGCTAAGATCGCGCGAAGCGATCTTATACACCTTCGCACGAGATTTCAACCTATATCTCGCAGCGTACAACTTAGCAAGAGAGCTGCGAATGACATACGCACAAAACCCAACTATTTTTTTCCGGTTATCTGCGTATCTATACCAGTCCGCCATTGTTTCGAGTAACTTATTCATCTGGGCGTTTGTGTGTGCTTGACCTGAATATAGCATAGGCGTGCAAGGCAAAGGCTCTGGGTCTTTATCACCCTTTACAAAAGCAAGCCGCCTAAACTGACGAACACACTGTTGCAAGCTAGCTGTGACAGAGAGTAAAGTCCCCACACCTTTCTCACTCACAATCTTGCCACCGCTTGAAGTGTAACGAAGAGTAGGGTGTATAACTCTACGCGAAATAATATGATCCAAGAACTGAATTCCCCTAGTGATATGCTCGATCTCAACCTTTGAATTGTCCAACCTAATACCGAATTTGCTGTCGCAGAACTCGATGATTTCCTTCCTAATTCTCACTGCTTCCTCTCTTGGACCCCTTATGCCAACTAGAAAATGACCAGCATACCTAACGTATTCCATTTTCCGAGTCTTTTCCTTACCACTCGAGGGAACAAATTCGGGCCAAGAAGGATTGTGACAGCCGTCGTTTATCGAATGCTTCCATATTGAATCGGATTGACAAGGCATGAAGAACTCTTGTATCTTATTTTCCATCATGTAATCGAATTCACTCAGACAAACATTTATCAGCAGAGGACTTAGAATTCCACAGTAACCACAATCGGGCACATTCGCAGCCTCCTCGGGAGCAAAACCGAAGAATGCCCTCAACCAATAAGGGTCGGGCTTCGGCTCATTTTCGGACAATATCCTCTTCTTCGTCTGCCCCTTCTTTCTTTTCTGCGGGGTTACCTTCTCCGCCTTATGTACGAGATGCTTGTGACTTTTTTCTGCCCCTCTCAGCCCTGATTTAATCAAGTTCAAAACCTTCTTGTCTTTTACAGATTTTTCGACACAGCCCAACACTACATTTAAATCTACATTATCAAAAATATCAGTCAAATCACCTCTTATAAACCACAAGTAGCCAGCAAAGTTACTCCTGATTGTTCTAATAACAGTATGAGGGCTCCTACCGGGCCGAAACGCATGTGACTTCGCAGAGAAACGGGCCTCGAAAACCGGTTCGAGAATCATCAACAGAACTTCCTGAACAACCCGGTCTTGAAACGGCTGGGTGGCGGATGCCAACATCGATTGGAGCTTGCGATTTGAAAGTAGGTGTAAGGGTTTATCGTTCGGATTGCGAATGAACTGCTCAGCCTTGGAGTCCCATTGGAACTGGTTGTGGATGACTGCGTCTCTGAGGGAGACGAGGTTGGACAGGGTGTACGATGGGATGGCATTTCTGGGAGGGAAGGAGCCGGTGGCGTGAGCGCACGCGCGCTGGTAAGCGAGCAGCCAGAGGTCGAGTTTTGAGAGGAAGCCGGAGAGATTGTTGAAGGGTTTCTGGGTTTGGGAGAATGACTTCACCCAGAGGTCCGACAGAACTTGAATCGGGTCTTCCTTCAGGAGGGAGTATGGATCCTGCCTCGGTGGTGGGTGTGGGTGTGGGCGGCGTTTAAGGTTGGAAGAGAGGTGGCGGATGGCGGTGGGGAAAGCGCCGGTAAGGTGTTTGATTTTTGTTCTCAGAGACATTCTTGTATGTCACTGAAACGACGACGTCTCCCACCCAAATTTTCGGTCCGTCTAAAATCAAACTAAAATAATATCGCTTTTTAAGTTGATTTAGCGACTATTGAATTCAAAATCGCTGCGATTTTATGAAAAAGGCAAGTTAGTGAAAGTTCGAAAAAGCCCTCCTCTAGACCACAAAATGGCTCCATTGTCATATCGAACTATTTAATAATATATATTTTTGAATTAAAAAAAAACTGTTGACTTTTGTTTAATGTATTTTTTAGTTCTACCAAAAAAAAATAATAAATAAATAAAGATCAATCTTTTTTTCATAAATCCAATTCAAATCTTGATTAAAGTATGGGTAAAAGGTTGCATACACTCTCTAGTCTCTAATATGGTTGGATTAATTCAAATTTAATCAGAAAATTAAGTCAAACAAAACATAAGTGTCCTTTTGTTATTGATTTGTGTAAAATGCATGCATTAAACGCATGGAGTAAACGTTAAGAAATACATATATTCATGAAATTAACAAAAATGCCCTAAAATGGTGGGAATGATCATATGCTTCATGCTCAATTCCCGCCTGTAATAATTGTTGAGCCTTTTATATAAAATTATAATCAAACATTCTAACACCGACCTCAATACTTTTTATATGCAGAAATATATATATAACTTTCAATATATATTAATTAAATATTTAAAATATTTGCTGTATCATACGTTATTGTTCAAGAAAAATTAGGAAATACAAGAAAAGGTTTGATCGTCCTGTTCATCATGAGAGAAATTGTATATTTAATTATTTATTTTTTTAAATATATATTTTAAAATTTGATATAAATTAAAAAACACAAAATTAAAGATCAAGTAAAAGGCGAAAAAAAAAAAAGAAGAAAGAAATCCAAGATTTTTATTTAACAGAACAGAATATGAAATCGTTCACAGGTAACTGAACTTTATGCAACAAAACTATACCAAGACTTTCTCAAGATTTAAATGTGCGTATACATATTGTATGAAAACCCTAATTTTAGGGTTGGGTTGTTTGAGCAGAAAGATCATCGCAGAAGAAGGTGACAGAATTGGGGTAGACATTGTGACACGGGGACGAACCAGAAGGTGGCACGTAGCCCTTGGGCAGCATGGCCGAGAAACGTCTCTCTTCGTCCAACCTGTTTCCCATAATTCTCTTCTTCTTCTTCTGATGATGATCAACATTGTTCAAGAAATCTGGAGTAGCAGTACCACTACTGCTGCTTTTCTTGATTGACCGATGACGATGACGATAATAATAATAATCTGCGTGAGGAATTACAGCTGGCCGAGCAGCAGAAGTGGGGCCCGCCGAAGAGATGATGATCAGTGAGAGTAGGAGAAGTAGAGAGATGAAAATGGTGATTATCTTGCCCATTAATTTTTCTGCAGACTTCATCAAATAAACAGCTTAATTCGATGATATATCGGTAGAATTTTAATAATGGGATTGATTTTATTGGGTAGCGAATTAAGGGATATATCGGAGGTGGTGGGATTTTTTCTTCTTATTCTTCTTCTTCTTATTGGGAACTCCAATATATATATATATATATATATATATATATATATATATATATATATATATATATATATATATATATATATATATTATTTCAATTTTGATATTGGTAATGTATTATATTATATTAATGTATTATTTATATGTGTGTTAAGTAGAAGTGGTGTATATTATTTTATATATATGTGTGTGTGTGTGAAAATTGTATCAATTTGTTAATTAATCAAGAATTTGGTCCATTAACCTAATCTCTATTTGAGGCGGCCCAAATAGCACAGTCCAATAAGAGAGCCCATAAATAAAAGAAAAAACGCAAGGCCCGAACTTGAGCCCATAAACGAAAGATAAAACGCTAGGCCCGAAAATGATTTTTGCAAAAGCGTTAGTTGGTAATCTATTTATTTATTTAAGAACGAAAAATAAATGAAAAAGAAGAAAAGAAAAATGAAAACCATTGACTTTAATCAAGAAATCAAAATCAAGATGCCATGTTTTAGCCAAACAGTAATAAATACACACACAGAGAGAGTAAAAGCTCTGCCTTGAAAATATATATATATTTCTCTGCAGATTTTTCATCCGCGCCTACGAGTTCTCTCAATCCCAATCTAGATTCTCTCTCTCTCTCTCTCTCTCTCTCTCTCTCTCTCTCTCTCTAATTATCTCAATCCAATCTAGATTTACACCAAAAGTCGCGACAGGGTTCCACTGTAAATAGATATAATTCCCAATTTTAAGAGTAATGTCGAAATCTCTACCCTATTCAATGAAAGATGTACAGTACGACAATGCCAAGTTTCGCCAGCGATCACTCACCAAGGTTCCTCCTTTCTCTCTCTCTCTCTCTTCTTTTTTTTTTTTTTTTTTCTAGATCTCACGGCTTTGCTCTTTCTTTGTTTCCTTTGGATTGGAGTGGCCGATTAAGTTGTTTAGATGTTCAACGTTGATAAAAGGAGATTTAGAGCGAATTTATTGTTTTTTTTTTGGCAATTAATTGTGTGATTGAAGATATTAACCCCAAGGGTTTTAGGGGTTTTTGACTGGTCCGAATCAAATAATTATACAGAGTAAGATTGTGAATTAAGGATCTTCTCAAAGAGTTCATCAGATAATTGCTATGTGATTTTGTCTATTGCTTTTTTTTTTTTTTTTTTGCCCCAGGAGTTTGGGATTGGTTTTCTGTGTGTACTGAGTCAGAGTTAACTTATCATGGTTTCTTCTCCAGGTGATCACACAAAATCTTCTAACGAGTAATGTAAAACGCGAATGTATAAAATGCAGTACAGGGAGGTTTCTTGTGCTATTAATGATTTTCGGTGTAGCCTATCTCATGCTGACGCATACAAGCCACGTTCCTTTATCGGATGGTTTATCCAAAAATATCGGCACCGAAGAAGGAAAAAACTTCTTCACGGACAAAAACGGTAGATTTAAAAGATTCTGGAGAAAGCCACCAAGGCTTCCTCCTCGTTTATCCCCCGACGAAATAGTTTCTAGGAATGCATCGATTAGTAAAAACGGCAAGTCGGATCCTGGGCCCGATTGGGAAGCTCGGCAGAAAAGGGTAAAAGAGTCATTTATCCATGCATGGTCAGGCTATCGAAATTATTCGATGGGATACGATGAACTTATGCCACTTAGCCGTAGAGGAATTGATACCTTAGGAGGTCTAGGAGCCACCATTATAGATGCTCTCGATACAGCCATGATAATGGGAGTTGACGAGGTTGTCCACGAAGCAGGATCTTGGATTGAAAAGCATCTATCTGAGAGGATTAATGGGAAAGGACAAGTGAATTTATTCGAAACTACTATACGAATCCTAGGTGGTCTTTTGAGTGCTTATCATTTAAGTGGGGGTAATAATTCTTCGACAACGAAAGGACCTAATCCGGCTGTGTATCTGGAAAACGCAAAGAATTTGGCTGATCGTTTGATCGTCGCTTTTACATCAAGTCCCACTGCTATTCCATTCAGTGATGTTGTTCTGCGTGACCGTTCTGCACATTCTGCTCCTGATGGATTAAGTAGCACAGCCGAAGCTTCTACTCTCCAGCTTGAGTTCAATTATCTAAGTTATTTGACTGGCGATCCGAAATACTCTCTGGAGTCTATGAAGGTTTTAGAACACATGAAGAATATGCCGAAAGTCAAGGGACTTGTTCCTATATACATTAAGTAAGAACTTCAATTCATTTATTTTGCTTTTTTTTTTTTTGTGTGTGTGTCACTCTATCTTTCTCTTGTGTCCATTTGTGTGTCGATGAATAGTGATTGGTTTTGATTTGTTATGATTGCAGCCCTCGTAGTGGTGAGTTTAGTGGAGAGAACATTAGACTGGGATCACGTGGTGATAGCTACTATGAGTACCTAATAAAAGTCTGGCTTCAGGACCAAGGAAAGAATTTAACTTATTTGCATGATATGTACAAAGAATCGATGAAAGGTGTCAAAGAACTTCTCGTTCGGAAATCTGTGCCCAATGGATTGGTTTTTGTGGGAGAATTGCCTTTTGGCCATGAAGGTGCATTCAGCCCAAAAATGGATCATCTCGTATGTTTCCATCTTAACTTTAATTTCTCTTTCTTGATAATGTAAATTTGTCGCAAATAAGATTGTTTTTTCATCTGCGAAGAGGAACTGTAATGATTTCTAGTTTTGTTACTTATGCTTGTTATTCAACAAAATTATCTTTTGCAGGTATGTTTTCTCCCGGGCACTCTTGCTCTAGGTGCCACAAAGGGCATTGTAAAAGAAAAGGCTATGAGAGAAAACCTGCTCAACTTTGAAGATTTAGAAAATTTGAAACTTGCTGAAGATCTAGCTAAAACGTGTTTCGAGATGTATTCAGTAACTTCCACTGGTCTTTCTCCAGAAATAGCTTACTTCAATGTTGAGGTCAGCTTTTTTCCTATTTGTGCCTTATTTAATATTTATCCTTTATGTAGTGATACTGTTGATATTCACTTGCAGCTAATGATCTAATTTTTACCTTAAGCAGGGACACAAGGAGAGTGGTCCCGGTGGCGGAAATAAAAACTCGAAATACGTCGATGACATCATTATAAAACCTGCTGACACGCATAATCTCTTGCGACCCGAAACTGTTGAATCGTTCTTTGTCTTGTTCCGGATCACAGAAGATCCCAAGTATGTGTCCCTCCTAGTTAATTACTGCATTTGCCGTTTTTCACCTTTTTTAAAAAAAATATCAATTGGCATTAATTTTGAGTTTTTGTAATTATACGCACAGATACCGTGAGTGGGGTTGGGAGATATTTGAGGCATTCGAGAAGTACACAAAGGTTGACACCGGAGGTTACACTTCACTGGATGATGTCACTGTGCTTCCCCCAAACAGAAGAGACAAAATGGAGACCTTCTTCTTGGGTGAAACCCTAAAATACCTTTATTTACTGTTCGGGGACAGAAATGTCATTCCACTCGATAAGTATGTATTCAACACAGAAGCTCATCCCTTTCCTATTCGAGACAATGCTGTAAGGATATAATGATGCTTCCACACGGCAAACGAATTTGATTCTTTTTAAACAAGGCAAGATTTCCAAATTCGACTTTGAAAGAAATCGTTGTGAATGAGTTGCGAAAAGTCCAAAGGTGGCCGAATTTCGAATTTCTGCTCCCTTGAGCTATTCTTCGATAGATTTTGTATTTGTATTCTTTTATGTACCATAAATTCGAAAAAATGGAGAACAACTTTACATACTGAGAGTTAAAAAGACAATAGATTGTCAAAAATCCCGTCGGAGTTCTATTTTTACAGTTATATACAGCTTTACCCCTTCAGCGGGTTTGTAAGACAAACCATGTAATTGGTAATACCAATTTTTCGTGTTATTACATTGAATGTATGAGTGTACTATTGATTTTGAATTTGCCCTAATCCTATGAATGTCGTAATTGTGGTCTTCGATATTTGTTAGCTCGAATCATACTGTCTGCTGTCGTAATAATGGTTTGACAGAAGAAACAAATGATCGCCATCTCGTACGACGCTTAAGTCGTCTATCTCTGCATTCTCTGAATTTACTACACCTGTAAGACTTCCATCTCCAAATTTCTGACCTGCAGTAATTATCAGAATGTTTGAGATGGGAGATATTTTTTAATTAATTCTTTTTTTGTTTTTAAATGCATACCTGCTATGGTGAGTAGTTCTTGTAAAGATTCAGGTAGGATTATCAGCTTCGAAAGCTGCTTTTTTGAATGGTTTTTCGTTTGAGGCTTCATGTGAATGGTGACTCTCTTCTTCGTCTCCGATTTTACTGTTTCTACGCAATTTGGAGGGACGAATTTCTTTTCATTTTTACTGTTCGAGATGATAAGGTCATATATGTCCTTTTGTGCATGTTTTTCTGCTAGTGACTTTGGCGTCCAGCCTCTCTCGTCTGGTTTGTTAATATTTGCTCCTTTTTCCAGCAAAAGTCGAACGACATCAAGATGCCCCTCTCGAACGGCAACGTGAAGAGCTGTTTGCCCATCCTCAGCAAATGACGAGTTCACATCAATTTCACAATTCCCTGTTTGGTTCCTTGTTTTAAATCCAGAATTCGGAATATCTTGATCGGACCAACTTTTGAGGATCGGACTTGGATCCTGTGGGCCCTCCACTTCGAAACTTCCACACGCTTTCATTTTCTTGGAACCAAAGATAATTCGTTTTTTCAGTTTGCAGTTTAAGACCCCAATAAAAGGAAAAAAAAAAAAAAAAATCAGAGAGATTTACCATAAACATGTTGTCCATAACGATGCGTTCATCTTCTGGGCTTGCTTGGAGAGTATTGAGAAATGTGGTCTTGTTAAGACGTAGTATTTGAGAAACTTCAGTCGTTCGAACACCAAACGGCTGAGGCTTTCGGCATAAAACTCCGATATCTCCGAAAATATCTCCTGCACAAGCTTTTCCCACTACCTAAACATTTTGCATCAAAGGGAAAAGAATAAATAAACAAATGTGATGCCTATATACTATTGCCTTTTGTTTCTCTATTCATGGAAGGTAGAAAAATCTTACTTGATCATGTCCGTTGATCTTCGTTACAAAATCCTGCCAACAGTACGAATGTGAGCCAATACAAAAAAAAAAAAAAAAAAAGAAAAAAACCGAGGGCATTCTTGACATTTCAGTAGGAGATTGATAAGTGAATAACTCACCACAGCTCCTGAAACTAGTATATATGCATCTGTAGGAGCCTCATTTTCTAGAATGACGTCTTCTTTCGGAGGGTAGTACTCAGCTTCCATTTCCGGTACCTTTTTTCGGTCGAAAACACACGAAATCATTAGAAGAAATAAACATTATGGCATCGTCATTCGAATAAGTATGAAAAATATGTTATTATTACCAGTTGGAAAAGGAAATCCTGAGAAACGCCACGAAAGAGACCGACATTTTGAACAACAGGGTAAAACAGGTAATGCGAAATACTCGAACGAATCGCCTTGGGAAGCCCATTCAATGTCTCTTGCTGCTTCAGTCCCTCTGCTTTGAATTTCAGACATATATGCGACAGAAGCTGATCTTGAATCCTAGGTGGCAACTGGTTCTTCTTCGCAAATTCCGAAGCCGCTTGCACTGATTCTCTCTACCACCAAAATAAATAAATAAACCATTTTCAACATGAGAGAGAGAGAGAGAGAGAGAGAGAGAGAGAGAGAGAGAGAGAGAGAGAGAGAGAGAGAGCATACGAAGTTTCGTGTACGACTGGTCCAGTGAACGACAAGATTAGTCATGTTTCCGATAAGATAGGATGTTAAACCGAGGTTGAATAGCATGTAGAAGATATCGAAGAGCATCTCTCTAGGGTTTTCCGCGTGCAAATCGCCATAGCCTGTGGTTGTTAGAGTGACAATAGACCAATACATAGAAGTGACGTATCTGTCCCACAAGCTCATCTGTTTGAAATTCGGATATACGGCACCTATCCATGTTCTCAGTGGATCCGGATATCTGTCCGCTATCATATAGTTGAAGCAACCGGCACTGTGAACCGCAAACAGAGTTACCTTCAAATCACCAACAAAAAAAAAATTCAGACCACAACCTTAAAATCACCAAAAAATACACACATAGTAACTAGCTTCTTCAACTTCTTACAGATACGAGCTTTGTGCAGCGAGTCCAGAAATAGTTGAATCGAATGTCCTTTTCGAGCCTGATGAAAAAGAAGAGTTGGTGAAAACAGTTCTTTTGTGAGAGAGAGAGAGAGAGAGAGAGAGAGAGAGAGAGAGAGAGAGAGAGAGAGAGAGAGAGAGAGAGAGGGACCTTGCAAAAAGAGAGCTGACTCGTCTGAGACGCCAAAGCCTAAGCATGCTGAGCAACTTAAAGCCGAGGCCGCCATTGTGATCGGTGAAGAGGATGCTGAGAGATTGAAATGGCACTGTTGAGCACACATCAAAAACGAACCAGGTCGATATATACCTGTTAATTAGTTGGATATATCATGTTATGTATATAATAGAGAAGTTTCTTGATTCTCTCCAAAGATGTGGGAAAATTGCATGTGCTGCGTGTGTACCTTAGTGCTATTTTTCTGGGATCGTCAATGAGAAGATACGATTGGCTATCTAGATAGGCGACGAAGAAAGTGAGAACAATATCGATAGCGAAGAAACTGTTGACAATGTTGTCAATCACAAACAGAGCATCTTGCTTGTAAGAGAGGAATGCAAACTCAAACGGAGAAATCCATGCCGAGTATATCACCAGCACAATCAGAAACACCTGCCAAGCCCTGTAATAAAATTTTAAAAATAAAAAAAATGGCTTTAGTTTTCGGTGTTACGGAAAAAGAAAAAAAAAACAAGTTATCGTGTTTTGTATATATCAAACCTATAGCGAGGATTGAACGGAGAAACGATGTTTTTACGGAGTGTAGTGGCTCGATTAATTCTGGCGCCGAGGGACGGAATAAGGTCGCTGAAGAAGCCGCTTTGAGTAGCTGTGGTCATGTGGAAATCCTCTATGCAGAAGCGCCTTAGGAAGTTTTTCGAACACGAATACGACATTTTCTTTTTCGGGTTTGTGTTAAAGATTGAAACTTTAAGGTGTGATGAGGTTGGGTATATATAGCAGCAGTGCATGATTTGAGAGATACATCTCTCTCTTTTTTAAAGGAAGTTTGTCTTAGCCAATGTGTATATACCGTGAGCATATTTGGCAATTATTATTTTATTGTTAATTATAATTTTAATATTTTTAAGGGAAGTGGTTAAAATGTGTGTGTGTGTGTGTGTGTTTTGATTGATCGCAGGTAAAAGATGATGAAGTGTGGCAGACAAAGTTGAGTTCACTATTAAGGTGATGAGATTACATTAACATGTGTAAAATTAGGCATTTTATGGACAAGATTTGAGTGATGAACTGATTATTATTATTATTATTATTATTATTATTATTAATAAATCAAATATTGGAAATGGGCCACACCCATTACCCATATAACAAAAAACAACCCCATGTTAAAGAGGATTCGCTGTAAGGTCGGCCTTGTGGATGCCACGTGGACCTACGTTCAATTTTCATAAGATTCTAATTAATTTTGTCTCTTATTTTTTTATTTTTTTACAACACAAAGTGATTAAATAGTAGACTTGTGACAAATGAACAAAAAGTGTCACAAATTATTATTATTTATTTATATTATATTATATAAAGAAAAAGAAGTTAGACCCGTATGTGGAAATGGGGAGGGGCGGACCCATATATAAATTATCCGGATAAATATAAAATATGATTGTTCTGAGTTATGGGGCAAATCTTTTGCCGACCCAGATTTGCTTATTAATGTTAAACGTGGGTATCCATATATAATCCGGACCCTTGACCCACCAATTACTATCATATCAACTCGATTATTCAAATTTTATTTTATTTTTTCATCCTAATTTTGACTACAATAACGTGATAACTTCGAACATTTGTGATTTGGGTGTCTAAAATTTGAGTTTAAATTGCATCTCCCATCAAGAATATATTCAGCAATTCTTGTAATGCATTCGTGAAATTAAATATTCCTCTACTACCTTTAAGTAATCCATTTTCCTACCAAAAAAAAAAAACAACTCTTAATTAAGAACCAAATTAAATAGATAATTTTTTTTTTTTGTAAAAGCTAATCATTAAAAAAAAAAAGAAGAAATAAGTTGCTTAAGGATAATTGAAAACAGGTGTACGTGTTTTGTTGAAGAAATGAAGTTGGTATTTTCGGGTTTTTGGGCAGGGACCCTTTCCACTAGTTTCCTTAGCAAATTTCAATTGGCAATCATTTTTGTCCATTCATATATTATATATGTTCACATTTAATAATTTCGGGTTTAGTGTTAATTAAACTTAATTAATTAGGAAGAGATGTATACTAGCTTAAAGAGTTTGATAGGTGTCATGTTATAAATTTGATTAGTAGGGCCTAATTTTGATCCCTATCACAAAACGATCCAATACTTTGGGAGATTTGGTCAATTCATTATATATTTATATATGCATAATGGCGGAGTCGACATAGGGTATGAGGGGTTCATGCCCCTCCTTCTTTCTAGCATTTTTCAAATCTCTAATATTTATATAAATAAAAAAAATTATGTATATAATAGTATTAACGGGCACTCGTAGTTTTTTTTAAATACATTCGGCTTTTGTTAACTTCAAATTGTGGTTGTGCTAGTGTGCAGGCCCGATCCTGAGAAATCGAGGGCCCTAAGCGAGATTTAAATAACAACTTAAAATGAGGTCCTTATTTGACAAAATAATTTTATTAAAGGGCGTTCAAAATTAAATATACTAAAAATATATAAATAATATTTTCTAAAAATGATGGAATAAAAATAAATAAATAATATTTTTTGAAATGTATGAATATAAAATAACTTAAAACATGGAAAAGAAATTCAAAATTAACACGATAATTTGTTGGTTCACTTTGTCTCGTGACGTATAATCTTTATAGCAAGTAGACTTTATCGATATTTATAAACTTAAATACACGAATGAATATTGATTCTTATTTTAGGTATAAAAAATAAATAATTAAAACGTTATAAATTTAATATTTAGGGTCCCAAAGTTAAGAAAATTGTAAAAATATATATTAACCATTTATTTTAAATGATGTTCCAAAATATTATATATATAATAATTTTTAAAAATAAGTATTGATATATATTGTATATAAAATAATTTGGGACCCTAAAGTTTCGTAAAAATTCGGGGAGCCTCGACGACCGCCTACTTCGCCTCCCCTCAGAACCGACATACATATATATGATATATCTAGATGCAGTTCTCTCTCTCTCACACACTTACACACACTCGAACGTGGAGTGTAAACCCTGTCCATGCAAAAAGACAACCACCATGCAGTAAAAGGGCCTGCTTTGTATCAAGAAACGTGTGAACAAAAAGACACTTTTTATTCACAAATTGTCCATGATTAATTAATTTAGTCCATAAAACAATCATCGTGTGAACATTTTCTTTTCAAAGAAATTAAAGCAGGCCTATCATAATTCAACTCCATATATCTAAACTTTTCGAGAAGCTCAAAAGGTATAATACTTTGTTCCATTAATTAATTAATTATATGATTTAATAGTCAAATTATTATTATTATTATTATTATTATTATTATTTAACAAAAAAAGGCAAGAAAAAAAAAAGGAAGGCTCGTGAATCGTGATAATACAGAAAAGTGAGTGACCACAGATCAATTTTTAGGGAACTGGTCCTGATAAAAAGAGGTCCTCCCCATGAAATTATTTCTTTCTCTTGCAATATTTCTGTCTTGTTTTTAATTTGCATTGTGGTCCTTAATTAATAATTCAACTGGTCTGGTTCCAACAAAATGTGATGCCCCTCCCTACTATATATACATACATCATAGATCAGGAATATTCCTTGAGCTATAGATATTAATTAATCAATCTGTTTATCTTAATTTTGAATTAGCTGAATTAAGCAACAGTTAATGCTACATTGAGCGACAACTTATCTTTGCTTATCTTCAAGTGTCTCTTTGCGTGGAAATAATTATAAATATCTCAAATATCGTTTGTCGATTATTATTATTATTGGTCCCGTCCAAGTAATTCCCCTTGTGATACTGCCGTGGTAGCAATAATGCATATATACATACTTTAAATTAATACACTCTGGACAATCAAAAATTTATTAATTTAACGCAATATTATTTTACCGAATAGGGAGCAAAATAAATAATTATTTAAGCGATGTTATTAATTAATTCATCGGGATTGATCAATTAGTTATAATATAATGCGAGGAAAAAAAATGATTGGTTCGTTGTACAATCAGAAAAGATCAATCAGGCTAATTAATAACATAATGGTGAGGCCCCTCATTACTGTGTTTATGCATTTATCCATGTGCGTGCATCAGCTTTGTGTCCTGAAATCATTTAGGGGAGATCTACTACTCTGTCCTTGTGTTTTTCTACCTCCCAAATAATTCTTACTTCTTTATCTATTACAACATTTTTTTTTTTGTGTAAGGATTCGTTGTTGAATTCTTCCCCTATATTTATAAAAATAAATAAATATTTATTCAAGGAAAAAAGAAACTCGAACGTGATTGGTTAGTGGGTGGGTCGTACTAATTTACTGATTTAGTCAACATTCAGGGAAGGTTGGAACTTGGCTGAAAAATCCAATCCAATATAATGTCCAGTTGCATGTAACTCTAAATAAATCTTAAATTTGTAGCTTTAGGCTTCGTCTTATTTGAAGACCCACTCTCACCATGGTCCACTTTTCTTCTATTGGTTTAAAGATTAATATTAATATTAATATTATCTACCTATCTGATTTTATAAATTTCAGATTATATTGGATTTAATATATTCTTGAATATATTCAATGATGTGCTCATGATTGATCATTGCCTTTCGGGGACAAGTGCAATTTTTTTTTTACTTAAATATAGTAAATAGGGCCGTAATTTTATTTTTTTTAATACGTAAAGTAAATTGATTTATGTGTCTCGGTACAAAAATTGCATGAAAAAAACAAGGCTTTTCGCTACTAGTAATTTAAGTTTTTAGTTGAGGTGGTCATTCAACATTAGACCGTGTTTGGCTTGGCCAGGGTCGCCCAAAACTTACAACACCAAAGACAAAATATGTATCCCGTATCCGAATCTCAGTGAGGGTTGGATAAAAGCTGAGTCGTCTTTCTCACTGAAGGAGCCAAACACGGCCTTAATTGCGTGGTCCTATACTGTTACAGAAAATCAAATAGGAACTATCTTCGCTTCTTCTTTCTATTTGTCAACCAAAGTGTCTCATTTGGGACCATGCCTATTGCTTTTGCTTATACAATTCAAGCATGGAATCTAAGTAACCACGAGCATGGGAGGACAAGATTCCCATATTTTTTTTCATAATATATAATATATATAATACACACACACACACACACACACACACACACACACACACACACACACACACGAATTGTGGTCTACAAGGGACTATTTATCAATATACATGAAGAGATTCTTGTTCATAAATATATATAATTTCTGGGAAGATCCAATCAATAATTTGCTTTTGATTAATGTAATTGCTTGTGTTATAATTAATCAATTACTTTAGAAGTGTAACCTAATTACACGAAACTATTTACGAGCATGTTCCTCAATTGGGATCTGACACGAATTAATATTTTTTTAAGGTTTCAATTTGGAGAAGATTTAGTGCGCGTAAGCACAGTTTTCGTTCCGGTTTGATCAAGCAGCGGGCCGTACTCAAATTAATGGTAATCGGAATCTTCGGAAAAAAATTGTGCACATTTAACGAGAATGTGATTGGTCCAGAACTTGAAATGCAATAACAAACTTCCTTGCCCGATTCCCCTTTCCACGCACTGATCATTTCTTAAAATCGTGCACAAAAAGTTAAAAACGTTTAATTGAAAACACCGAATCACCTCAATGATGATGCTGATCGAAATTCAAAAGCACCATAAATAATATATACACACACACACGAAAAGGAAAGCTGTTGTTAATTATTCATCTGTTGACTGAAGTAGGAAAAAAGTGCTACTTATTTTTTCAACAAGAATAAAGATAAGCGCATCTTACCTAGTACAACGGAAAAAATGACAATTAATTTAACGCAGCGATGATTAGATTTCTTATTTACGCGCAAGTGGTCTGTGCATTAGTATACCTATCTTTTCAGTGAAGTAGCTTAATTCTACAGTTTCATCACGTTTCTTCCGCTTTTATTATGCTGCTGCCCATTATGAATACATAAATTCATTCAAGAAAGAGATCAGAAAAAATAGGCCACCCACAAATGCATGCCTAACCAACATCTAGGTGAGGGGTAAACCTGTATTCTGCCTGCCATCTCACTTTGCTACTTAATAATGGATTCATGACAAGAAACTCAGACGTATTTACGACTTTATGTAAATTCCGAAAAAGAACAAGAAAAATTTACAACCTTCGATTTCAAATATCTAATTCCATAATCTGTATAAGACCCTCTAAGAAGTTTGCAAATTCTTTCTAAAGTAATTAGAAAAACTTCATCCATTCATCTGTATGTACATACACTATATGCTTCTATGTGTGTGCGAAAAAGTGAGAATCATCGGCAGTAAATAAACCAAAATAGCAGTTCATAAACGACAAATCACTCGATTAGTTCTATAGTCTACAAATGTGGAAAGAATGTTATGTTGTCAACTAAAAACATAAATGTGCTAAACAGTGTCCGTTCCATAAATTATGTGGCATGCATATAGTCGTTTTCTTCGAAGAACAAAATTTGGGCTCTAATATCTCATTCGACTCCTTTAAGAACACACTTAATTGTTGATGATGTCACATTGTTCCTTTCTTATCTAACGGGATCTTGATCTGGGAAACATCTTATACATATTGTTATTCCTTCTTATCATAAAGCAACTTCATCTTAAAGCTTCCTAATATACTGCTTATCTAAGTACCTTTCAACCCCAAACCAATACGATTCTTCCCTCTCTAAAAACAAGTCACGAAATTGAGGCATATCAATTTCTTGTGCTCATTAGGAAAGGTAAGGTCACAGAATATGCCAGCATTTATACTCTATATATGGACATAAATCAAATCATATGTTAAAGAATCCAAGTTTTAAAACGGATGTTAACAGGCAATATGAAAAAAAATCCATATGAGCATAATATCTTTAAAAAATCACACGTTACATGGATGGAGACAATAAAAGTTGGGCATCGTAGCTCGTTAGTTACCTAGATAATTATAATTCATCAACGGCACACACTGCATTTCCAACTTAGACGAGACCACGTTTATGCTGATAATACACATTTGTCGACTCGGGGTATTATGCCTTTGCTTTTCCAGCCTGCAGGGATTGAATTCTTTGTTGTACCTTGAAAATCTGCAAAACAGAAGAATGTTGAAGCGTTTAAAGTAATTAAGTTTACAAAAATGACAATTATGATATTTGCTAGAAAAATGGTTGGAAAGAAGATACCAGTACAACAACTCAACAAAAAATAAATAAATGAGCTCATTCAGCAGAAAACAAAACTAAAACTCTAATGCCACTGGTACAGCAGGTATTATAGAAAATCAATAAGTTATCTCGAAATGGCATTAAAATGTCTATGAATCAACTCCTAAAGTCAAATCACAAGCCAAGTGAGAAGAATTGACAAGGTTCATGATGATATTCGTGTTATGGTATATGTAATTATAATAACTTTTTCAGAAAATAGCAAATAAAACTCCAGAATTTGTGTTAAAAGGAAAAAAATGGCAGAATAACCAACCGCTTCTTTCTTGCTGTTTTGCTTTTCTTCTAAATCTTGAAGAGTAGCATCTAAACGCTTCCTGGTGGGGAAAAAAAACAATAAGCTCAAAGAAGGAAAAACAAAAAAGCAAGCGTAAAGCAAAAACCAACTAAGAACCGGGAGAATAGGAGATCCTGCAAAACAATCGGTCAATATTAACTTGTAAAAACAGAGACAAACTCACTTTCTTGCCACACAGAAAAGATCCTGTCTTTTTTTTTTTGTCGTTTTTCTTATCGATTATTATGATGTCTAATACTTCAAAAAAAGAATTGCCATTAAAATACGTCAACTCTTGTTCTCCCATGTTCATATTATCTGTACAACTTCCTTTCATCAGTCAATAGTTTTTTTTCTGTCGCCAATTTCTTTCTACCACCTTGATTTGCTCGACATCCCAAACTCGACGATAAGAACCGAAATCAACAGTCGATTTTGTCTAAATTTAAATAAGTAAAGTAAGTAGCATTTACTCAACAACTAATCATAATTCCTAGTTCAATCATCAAGCACACAAAATTCTTACGACTGACAAACATCAATAAATTAAAGAGAGCATACAATTCGGCAGAGATGTAATCAATCCGCTTGCGAACGTTGGCATTTGCCTCAGCTAAATCCTGTTTCACTAGCACCGGACCAATCAATTTGTACACATTCGCATCCTCATTCAACAAATCAAGTTCCTTCAAATAAAAAAAAAAAAAAAAATCATCCAGAATAAAACTCATTGAAAAAACATAAAGCCGACGGAATCAAACTTACAAAAAGAGAAGATTAACGAAAACCTACCTTGAGGACAAGCTCGTTTTCGCCAAGCTGAATAGTGTATTTCTTCCTGACTTGGTGATTCTTCGATATATCTAAAAAACAGTAAAAAGTTTTCATTAGGGTTTAACATTTAGAAAATGAAACTGAAGCAGAAGAGTAAAAAATTAACCTTTCTGAATTTTGTTGAGATCGTTGGCCTTGTTCTCTAGTTCACGCTGTAGCTCTTTGGTTGCGGCCATCGCACCGCCGCCTCAGGGTTCCGGCGATATCGTCTAATTCAAATTTCTCGCGAAGGAACTCAAATCCGATCTCGATCACTCTCGCAATTGTTTTCCTCCAAATCGATATTCATCCTGAAAATTGGCCCGTTGCTAATTGGGCCAGAGTACAATTACTGTTATGTTGAACATTGGTGGGTTAATTACATTAATTTCAGCCCAGCCCAAAACTATTATTATTTGTAATTGTGCCCCTTTCTCATCGGCCCAGCCCAAAACTACTAATTTATAAATGTGTGCACTAATAAATCACAAAAATAAAGCACGTGCACTCTAGTTATTAATTATCTTCTTAATTTCACAAACTTAACCATGTAAATATACGGTAAATTTAAATTACCACCACATCGACCAGATAAAGTCTATTTATAAAAAAATCCTTCATTTTTTAAAAATTGCATCTAGTCACCTGCAGTTTGTAAATTTCTTACATTCCCGCATACAAAATGGTCTTGATGTAAGAAATATACAAATTGCAGAGAAATGGATGCAGTTATGAAAAAAATTAGGGTGGTTTCGTAAATAAGTTCTACGTCAGGGAGACGGTTGTAATTTTGCGATAAAGTTGCGCATATTACATTACAAAAGCTTATACTTTTGACTTTAATTGACATAACTTTGAATCCGAGGCCAATGATCAAAAGTCCAAGCAAATGATAATGTTAATAATAATGTTCAGGCTTTAGGATTAGAGCAAGTCCAATGGCATAACCAAATGAAGCATCAAATGGCATAACTGTCAATTTATTGCTTTAAGTTTGATTTTATCCCCTCCAATGCAGTAATCAAACATAGGCATCTTTTTTATTATTCAAGTCTTGGGGTGTAAATATACACACTCTCCAATTCAAATATCAAAATTTAAACATCATTCAACTGCCACCAACTGTCATATTTTCATAAGGAAAAAATATTATTTTTTAAATTTGATTATTCATTTGATGATTATGGTTGGAGAGAATTTTTTTTAATGAGGTACCAAAGCACTGTAGCAAATACCAAATAGACATTTGATGCTTCAATTTTGATTACTTGCCTTGGACTTGCTCTTAGGGTTCGAGCATCAAAGTATTATTGAGTGGTAGTGAAAATTGAAAAAGGAAAGGACCAAAGTGGTCAATAAATTAGTCAAAGTCACAAGAAGTTCTCTCAAAAATTGTTTAATACTTTCAAGAAATATCCATGGAGCAGTGGACCCCACCATGAGAATATTGAGACATACCCCAATTACCAATAAAATATAGCAACGGATTGAGTTAAATTATTGATCAATTCCAATGTGGAGAATGTAGAGATGCGAACACTGTGCTTTCTTGAAATTAATTAATGTTTAAAATAAAAACATTGATTTATCACTGTTAGCAGTAAAAACTAACATGGAATTATCATTTTCTGGCATAAAATAGACAGTTTGCCCCGTCTTTTCCCTCTCATCATTTCTCTCTCTCTCTCTCTCCATCTCTTTCTCTAGTACTGTACTGTACTGCACACACAAACACACACAGAGAGTGAGAATTTAGCATTAAAGATGGTTTTAAACTCAAGAAAATGCAGATGGGCTTCTGTTTTCCTGCTTTTCTTGGCTTGTTCATCTGCTGCTGCTGTTGTCGAAGATGGTAATTAAGCCCTCTCTCTCTCTCTCTCTCTCTCTCTCTCTCTCTCTCTCTCTCTCTCTCTCTCTCTATATATATATATATATATATATATATATATATAATACATATCTTATTTAACTGGATATTCATCATGAAAATAAATATTTGTAATACTTGATAATTTGGAAACTGCAAAATTAAGTTGAATCCCTGTGCTCGAATTTATTGCTCATTGCTCAATCATTGAGGGATTTTTATTACAGAACTCAAAGTACGCGATCATCTTTCCTAACTTGTCCAATATTAAACTAATGAGTAATGACTAAACAAATGCATTTATTTACCAGCAGATTGAATGGATTTGTCCAATATCAAAGAGTCTTCCATTATTATTATTATTATTATTATTATTATTATTTTAAATCTTATTTTGACATGATGAAAAGACTGGTCTATGGACAGTGAGTGGGGACAAGAGCAATTTTATAGATTTGCGAGCCCCTACACGCTCAACAGCTAAGATATATACACTCCCCCCACCCCACTATCTTGAATTTTTTTGAACCCGGTCCAATTATTTATCCAAGCCCATAAATTAATCTACATCCCCATGTGAAATCGATTTCATGGGCCCTTTCCAATTTTGTCTTACTCCTGCAACCCCTAATGATAGGGGTGTGCACGGGTCGGTACGATTCGGTTTTTTCAATAAACCAAACAGTACCAATAATATCGGTTTTTCATATTTTAAAAACCGAATATGTCGGTTTTTTTCGGTTTGGTGTTAATCGGTTTTTCGGTTTTCGGTTAACGATATCGGTATAATTCAGTTTATTTTCAGTTTCGATTTCGTCTATTTGTTCAAATCGGCTCAGCATAAACCGATATTTTTGGACTTTCATTATATTTATTAGAGAAAATTAACAATAACAACCGAAAATTAACTAATAAAAAACATGTCACAATCCAAAATTAACTAATAGAAAAACATATCACATGGAGGCGCTCGAAACATGGAGGCGCTCGAAAGATAGAGGCACGTTAGTGTAAGTATTTATACTATATATTAAAAAGACATTATTTTGTATAAATCGGTTCGCTTCGGGAAATCGGTTCGGTAATTTTTTTATTCTCCATACACAAACCGATATTTTCGGTTTTTCAAAAAAAATTAACCGTATATGCGGTTGTAAGTCGGAACGGTATATATCGGCTCGGTTTTTTCGATTTTCGGTTCGGTTTTTTTCGGTTTCTCGGTTTTTTTTCTCACCCCTAGCTAATTATCCCAATTACGACTAATTTTCATATCTTGATTTTCATATTCCAATACGTGTAATTAAAACACTAATAATATTTAAATTAAAAAAAAATAAAAAAATTATTGCAGGCTCACTTGTGAATGGAGATTTCGAGACTCCTCCTTCTGGAGGCTTCTCCTCAGACGCCGGATTTTCCGGCGGCCCCACCGCAATCCCGAGCTGGGAAACCAACGGCACGGTGGAGCTGGTTGAATCCGGGCAGAAACAGGGCGGGATGATCCTCATCGTACCGCAGGGTGCACACGCGGCGCGTCTCGGCAACGACGCCGAGATCAGCCAACAAATCACGGTGGAGAAGGGCGCACTCTACTCCATCACCTTCAGCGCCGCCCGCACGTGCGCCCAGCTGGAGTCACTCAACGTCTCCGTGCCCCCGGCCTCGCAGACCATAGATCTCCAGACTCTCTACAGCGTTCAGGGCTGGGATTCCTACGCGTGGGCCTTTCAGGCGGAGCGTGAGGAGGCGCGTGTGGTTTTCAGAAATCCGGGCATGGAGGATGACCCCACCTGTGGGCCCATCATTGACGACGTCGCTATCAAGAAGCTTTTCGTCCCCGATAAGCCCAAAGGTCAGTTGGGCTTCGGCCCGTTTTATTAAATTATGTGTAATTCCCTAAAAACAGAAAAAGGAAATAATAAATGTCAAATTACGAAAAAATCCTTCATGTTCGGATAATTACATTTAGACCCTTCACATATGTATTCTCGTACCAAAAAACCCCGCTTTCATTAGGTAAATTTTGACGCAGTACATTGGTGAGTGTTGGTTGTAATTACCCAAACATGAAAAGTTTTTTTCTAATTTTATTAGGTAACGGGGTGGCCGTAATTTGTCCAATAATAAATTATTAGTTCTTATATGCCACGTCATACACAGATAACGCAGTTGTGAATGGGGATTTTGAAGAAGGGCCATGGATATTCAGAAACGAGTCACTCGGGGTACTGCTCCCCACAAACCTAGACGAAGACACGTCATCACTGCCCGGTTGGATAGTCGAATCGAACAGAGCGGTTCGTTTCATCGACTCGACCCACTACTCAGTCCCGGGTGGCAAGCGGGCCATCGAGTTGCTATCCGGGAAAGAAGGCATAATCTCACAAATGGTGGAGACAAAGCCAAACAAGCCCTACAGATTGACTTTCTCGTTGGGCCATGCAGGTGACGCATGCAAGCAGCCGTTGGCAGTTATGGCCTTCGCCGGAGATCAGGCACAAAACGTACACTACACTCCCAATTCGAACTCCACATTTCAGAAGGAGGATCTCAACTTCACCGCCAAGGCTGAGAGGACACGAGTCGCTTTCTACAGCGTTTACTACAACACGAGAACTGATGATATGAGCTCTTTGTGTGGGCCTGTGGTCGATGATGTAAGAGTCGAACAATCGGGGTCAAGTAGGGTCGGGCTCGGTGGATTGGGGTTGATCTTTGTTTTCTTGGGCTATCAATTCATGGTTCTGGTTTTGGTTTAAGGTTTCAGGGGTAAGTGTTTGTCTTGATATATGATGGGGATATATGTTTGTGATTTGTGATTTTTTTTCTAAAATAATTTTGAACCATATAATATTATCTTGTTTTCAATTTAGAGGCCATCCCTCGTTTGAGCGGTGAGCGGCTCTTGTGTGAGGCTTGTTTCAACAAACAGACCCCAACTCGTTGAGTTAATTAAGGATTCGAGTTTCTTATCTAGATTCTCCTCCTATAAGAAAAGTTAATGATATGCGTCAACAAATGAAATACGAAAATATATAAAACGGGTGCAGCAGTCTTTGCATAGTTTAAGGTACTCCATTCATTCACTTTCTTGACATTATATTTGCCGGCCAAACGGACACATCCAGTTCCGAGTGATAATATTATGAATGAAGCAATCGCTTCAGGATACGACCAATAAATTGAATTATAGATTTCCTTATAAAAAAATGCAATATAATTTTTTTTATACCCATTACTCTTTTCTAAAGATTTAATTTACTTGACCCTTCAATATTTATATTTTTCATATGAAATATATTATATATTTCGAAAAAATATAGAAATAATCGAAACTAAAAGCGGATCGAAAATTGGAATTTTCGATAATTTCATATATCATTCCAATTTCGTTCCAAATAAATTCGGAAGCATCGGAAATCGGAACTTCAAAAATCGAAATGAAAATACATATATTATTCTTCATCAATTTCCCTTCTTTTAGTTATGATTTAGTTATCTTTGTGGACATATAATATTCTGCTAGCATATATTATTCTTCATCAATTTCCCTTCTTTTAATTTAAGCACGAAAACGTCTCCCTCACTTTTTTTAGTGATATCGTTTTTCCTTTCCATCTTCGAGTTGTTGTGGATCTACGTTTGCCGAATTTATTATGGGTTTTGCAGGTTTAGTTATAAATTTATAATTTTACCAGGTCTAAAAAAAGTTTATGTTTATTAGCAAACGCTGCACATGTACAAGATTGTGAAAAAAAATATGTTTGCAGGTACTGCATATTATATTTGACACTTTTTTGTTCTGCATATGTAGGATTTATTGATTTTTCAATTTGTGGCTAAAATATGTTTGAAGGTTTTGGTTCTAACAACATTCTAATTATTTGGGAGATTGGAATTGGGGCTTGGTAAATTCTATAAATTTCACCTCATTTTGCATACGTTGGATTTTTGTTTTTCAGTTTGTTTTTGAAATATATTTACAGATTTGTGTTTTAAAAGCCTACTAATTTTAAGGGTACTTGGGAGATTTGAAATTGGATTTGGATAAATGTCTAACTATATTTCTACTATATGTATCTCTGCATATATAAATTAGATTTATTTTATTTTCGATTTGTTCTTTAAATATATTTATTGATTTTTTTGGTTTTTTGGTCGAATATATTGCTGATTTTGGTTCTAAAAGCTTTCTAATTCCAATATTTGTGTATGGAATCTTTTACAAAATAATTGTATTCGATATTTGTGAATGAAATACCAGTATTCTAATTTCTATTTTTTAATTTTTTTAGTTTGATGAAACTTTCAAAAAAAAAAATTGTATTTGAAATTTATATTTCCATGAAAAATACGAATGATTGTCAATTATTTTTTGATTTTTTTAATTGTTTTGTAGAGAGGATTTCATTTATTTATTGGCGTTTTTCTTCTTCAATTTTCTCGAGAGCATTTGTTAACTACATGGTCTCACTGCAAGTTTTATTCATTTTAGATTGTCGTATAAAATACTTTTTGAAACTTTCACAAAAATAAATGTAGTCGGTTTTCGACACTTTTTTCCTATCAAATCTTTGATTTTTTTAACTGTAGAATTGGATGTTATGGTTTTATATATTCTGCTGGTATGAGCAAAACAGTGTTAAAAGTTTGTTTGCTTCATGCGAGGCTTTTTTCCACAATCATTTATGCATTATTTTCCCTCATTGAAAGGAACCATTCCTATGCTGAGTGTTTATTAAATTTCCTTTTACGTATTTTTATTTAATTTATTGTTTCTTAACATTAACTGGATTCAAATTTTTAAATTCATATTTTCTACAATTTTATATAGATGGAAAATTACATAGTATGTAAGACGCCGTTTCTCGGAAATCCTTGGCGTTCTTCCACTGCATCGTTTACTTTGCTAATTTATTGCCTATTTTTTTCTAATAGTTTAAACGTGTTAACGCTTCGTTAGACGACCCATACAAATTTTGCATCAAGGAAGGAACTTTCAAGTTTCAAGCACTTGAGTCTATGAATCTTGCCGTTCTCCTCAGCTACCTCTGCATTTGTCAGGTTTTTATGTTTTCACTAATATTTGATTTTTAGTACTTTTTCATGTTTTAATTTTCGAGTTTCTTTATATCCGCACACAATCTTTATTTTTGAATTTTCGAATTTCTTTATTTCTTTATTTTTTTTAAACATTCTTTGTTATTCGTTGTACTTTTTATTTATCTTTTCATCATTGTAACTGTTTTTATTTTTCTAATTAATTAATTTTTCTGAACTCTTTTTGTTATTACACTTTCTTTATCAATGACGTCTTTGTAAAAAAAAATTAACTTTTATGTTTCTACGAAACCGCTAATGACGTCTTTGTAACTTTGTTTTCCTCTTCAAATTATAAATGACTTTTCATTTATTATTTTCTTCAAATATACTCATTTTTAATGTCACGTGTTAAAGTTATTATTTTTTTGACTTTTGGAATATCAACATCGCACGGGGAGAAATACTAGTAATAATAAAAGAAAAAGAATATATAGTTTAAAATCCTTGTATCTTCACAACGACGCCGTAGAGTATTTTGACAACCACAGTCGCAAGTCGCAACTCACACTAACCTACCCTATTCACACTCACTGAGAAAACTCACTCAGGCGAAATCAATGGCGGCGGCCTATTCTTGCCACCTCTCCTCCGTCTCCTCACCGGACATAGTTTCTCTCTCTTCATCCTCGTCTATTTCACGCGCCGCTCTAAACCTCCGTGGATTCTCCACCGTGTCTCTGGCCGCACCTGCAATCCGTCGACGAATCTCGTGCCAAACTGTCTCTTCCGCGCCGCCCTCGTCTCCTGCTAATCTTAAAGGTCTATCAATTATTGTTTTCCGGCGCTACTGTTTACTGATCTCTAGATTTTTTCAGGAATTTTTTTATATTTGTGTTTATCTCTATGCCGAAAAATGCATTTCACAATTCCGTGTTTAATTTTGTAACAAAATCGTTTCGCTTATTCATTTTGTGTGGTAATTGGATATGTGAAAGTTAATTATATTTCCTTATCTTTTTTTTTTTTCGGTCTTTCGTTCCACGATTATTGATTGAGCTCCCCAAGCATTGTTACTTGATAATTGCAAGGCATTTTTGGATTACCTACAAAACAATTGAATATTATGGGCAATTTCTCTTTGTTTGAGATAATTCTTCGTGCTTCAAAGTTCTGAGATACTTCCTTCGTAATATTCATGTAATCCCAATATCATTAATCTTTGCCATTAGAGAGAATATTGAAACAGGTGCATGTATCCTCAACGTGACCACATTTGATTGATAGTTTAGTACCGGTATTGCAAACTTCCATCGTTCAAATATTAATACTGTATCGATATTTTGTATCGATATTTCAGCACAAGCAGGTCTGAAGGATTTTCTTAACATCCGTGATTTTGACAAGGACACGATTTTAAAGATCTTAGATCGAGCAAAAGATGTCAAAGCATTAATTAAATCGGGAGAGAGAACATATCTCCCATTTAAAGGGAAAACTATGGCAATGATATTTGCCAAGCCATCTATGAGGACAAGAGTTTCATTTGAGACTGGATTTCATTTGCTCGGAGGGCATGCCCTATACCTAGGACCCGATGATATCCAGATGGGTAAGCGGGAGGAAACTCGTGACGTTGCTCGTGTTCTTTCTGGCTATAATGATATCATTATGGCACGGGTTTTTGCTCATCAGGTATGCCGGTGAGTTCTCAGTTAAGGACATTTCAATTTTGGTTGCCCCATAATTTTTATTTTATTTTGTTGTCATGAGTTCAAAGTCAAGCTTTTACTCTCACTCACACACACACACACACACACACACACACACACACACACACACACACACACACACACACACAAACACACACACCTGCATGTGGAGGTTATTGAGGATAAAAAATAATATCCACTGGAGAAACCTCTAATACGTTTTATGCTCCTTGTACTTGAACATAGATTTTGAACATAGATTTTGATCTGATATTTCAGTTGTTTTCCTCGCTATATGTCATAATGTATTTTATGACGTCTGTGTATATAATAATATGAAACTGATGTTTGTGACTTTGGATAGTCTCCTAGTGAAATCTAGTGAAGCATAGTTGTCTCTATCCATTTGCTGTGATTATGTAATAAAACATCTACATTCTTAAAAATCGATAATTGATGGGATTGGCCACATATGTCCTGCGGCAAGTACATGGGTTCAAATGTTCTAGAGTTCGTAACCTAAGAATACATTCTTTCTGCTAAATTCACGAACCAAGCAGGCTTGATTGTTTATCCATTTCTCAACCTGGTCGACTTGAATCATTAGACGCATTTTACGTGTTCAATAAATTGAAATAAGGTTCCTTGTCAGCTTCGTTGCTTTTACTTTTACCAACTAACCTAGTCTTGCTTATGTTTTAACTTTTAACTGCAAACGTTACATCATCCCTCCTTCCATTTCGCAGGACATTCTCGATCTTGCTAAGTATGCATCTGTTCCCGTGATCAACGGCTTGACAGACTTCAACCATCCCTGTCAGATTATGGCCGACGCTCTGACAATCATTGAACACGTTGGTCAACTGGAGGGGACAAAGGTTAGCCTCTCTTTACAGAAATTTCTTGCAATCCAACTCCCCACCTTAAAAATTGTAACAAACATTCAATGTTTTCGCGAAATATTCAGGTTGTGTACGTTGGAGATGGTAACAATATTGTGCATTCGTGGCTGATGTTGGCATCCGTCATTCCTTTCCACTTCGTTTGCGCGTGCCCTAGAGGTTTTGAACCGGACGCAAGGACAGCTAAGAATGCAATTAAGGCTGGAGTGAGCAAAATAGAAATAACTATTGATCCAAAAGAAGCCGTAAAAGGAGCCGACGTTGTCTATTCAGATGTTTGGGCTAGCATGGGGCAGAAAGAAGAAGCTGAGTACCGCCGTAAAGTTTTTCAAGGATTCCAGGTACGCAACGCGACAATTTCCTAGAGATATTCATACAGTAATATCTGCAAAGTCAAATTCTATATTTTTGAGAAATTTAATATTTATAGGTGGACGAGGAGCTGATGAAATTGGCGGGTCCCAAAGCGTACTTTATGCATTGTTTGCCTGCCGAGAGAGGTGTGGAGGTTACTGATGGCGTTATAGAAGCCCCGAATTCCATTGTCTTCCCCCAAGCTGAAAACCGAATGCACGCCCAAAATGCTATCATGCTTCACGCCCTTGGATTGTGATGGCTGTGTGTTTGCTCGTCTATGTTTCGAAACTTTTGTTTTTAATTTGGACCTCGATTTTCTCTTTTTTTTTTCTACTTGATGAGCTTAGTAGTGGCACTGCATCTATTACATGCTTTCACTTTCTATGAGTTTTCAGATTATATATTCGGTATTCGAATAAATATCGATCCGATGTAGTGTACGATATATCGTGTTGCTATCTGTTTCGTTTATCTGCATTATTTTGATTGTTTTACTAATTTTTAGAAGAAAAAAGGGAAGGCTCATTGTTTTACTAATTTTTACACCGGGATCTACACACACCAATGTGGGTGTGTGTGTGTTTGTGTATATATTAATGGTAAAGATTTACCCGGTGTAGCATAGTATAAACCAAGGTATCCAAATCATGATGCATTTATTGAAGGCTTGCATATTAGTACATTGGAAGGTAAGACTAATGATTAAAAATTGGAGAATATTCAACATAACCAAGAAGATTCAACTAAAATTGACACCGGGATGAACGTGTAAGAAAATTCGTAGTTGAGAAGTGATTGTAATTACTCAGATATAAATGGTTTTTTTTCGTAATTTGGCATGACCGTAAGTTGGCCAAACATTTTTTATGGTAAAGGAAAATGAAAAATTATTTTCTAGCATTCCAAGTTTAACTAAAACACTTGTAAAAAGTGAAATGTAAAAACCTGGTTACATTTCGTCTATTACTAGAATGAAAGATTGCCAAAATCAAATAAAGAAAAAAATACTGAAAATAAACAAGAAAAGAAAATAAAAAGAAATTTGTGGAAAAGAAAAAGAAATTGAAAATTTCTCGGTTCGGCGGCCCAACCATGAAGTAGGAGGACTGTATATATTTTGACCCCTCGATGAAAATCATTTCTCCCAGAGAAAGAAGAAAAGGGGAAGAAAAGAGCGGGAGGATTTACCATTCTCCATTATAGACGCCCCTTCTCTCTCTCTCTCTCTCTCTCTCTCTCTCTCTCTCTCCTCTTAATGGAACCAAACCATGGGCATGAGATTCCAATTCCCACCTCTTCATCTCCACCGTCCGATCACGATATTGATCATGTTGACGATCATCCCGATTTCTCTCCCGTCGGTTCCCCTGAGCTCACCGAATCTCACCTCCCACCGCCGTCGGACCAGACACAGTCTCCCACTCTCTCCGATGATCTCCGCCGCAAAATTATCAAGCAGGCAACTCGTTTACTTTTTTTCCTTTTTGCCGATTTTATTGATTTGATGCCTTTTAGGGGTATCGATTTGGTATTTTGTTATTGTTAATATGCATTTGTTATTGAAGTTGTTGTGTTGTTCAATTAATGATTAATGGATGATGTTCTTGGGTTTTTTGAGCTGATGATAGTAGGGTTTTAAGTTTTAACTTGAGCAGGTTACTTGGTCTAACTGTTTCCTTTTTAATTGCTTCACTTTAGTTTTGTATTTCATATTGATTTAATTTTTTTAATCTGCATTTTTTAAAAGATTCCTTTCTCCCTTAAATGGAAATTTAGGGTGGGACTGTGGGAGTAGCTGTTATTGGGTTTCTTGAATAATTCATTGTGCCAATGGATTTTCTAACTGATCTTTAAAATTCTAAAATCTTATTACATTTTAACTATGCACCTTGATGAGTTTTTGTGATTTGTGGGTTATCCTATATTTTGTTGTTAGAAAAACTTCAAATTTTATTTCATGTTCCGCCGAATTACTGCTGAATTTGGTGTCATCGTTGAAGCGTGTTACATGGGCTATGTTACCTTGGTATTTTATTTAATATTCCACCGCTGACCTTGTTCTGATATTTTGTGGTGTTTCTGATAACGGTGGAATTGTTGCAGCATAGTTATCCCGCGGTTTTGTTTTAAACCAAAATTTAGTGTGTGATTGTTAAGTTGGTCCACCTAAACTTATCGGAACTTTTTATGTTGCAGGTGGAGTATTACTTCAGTGATGAAAATTTGCCGAATGACAAGTTTTTGATGAAGTATGTTACAAACAATGTAGAAGGATTTGGTGAGAGCTAAACTTTGTTCGACTCTTTACCTTAACCAATCCACATACCTATTAGAATATCATGTATCAGGATATTATACTTACTTATTCTTTGTGTGTGTGTGTGTGTATACTTGTGTCTGTGTGAGAGAGGAATCAGGATAAGTCCGGATGATGGGTGATCTTGCTTTAGACCCCTTATTTTCTGCTCGTTTTAATTGCCTCTTTTTCATTATATAAGTTTTTTTGATAATCATGCATTGTGTGTAAAAGAAACCCTCTATTGTTGCAGTTCCTTTAGGAGTTATTGCTTCCTTCAGGAAAATGAAGAAACTTACAAGAGATATGTCATTCATCGTCTCTGCATTGAAGGAATCTGATGTTCTTGTAAGTGACTGAATTCATAACAATTACTCAGATTCTAACAAATTTTTGTCCACCACCATTCTTTAATTTTGTCCTTAATGACCAGATAACTAGCCAGTTTGTTTCCGTTTGCTGCAGGTGGTTAGTTCTAATGGGAAAAGGGTGAAAAGGCTTCATCCTCTTCAGCTGGTCGAGATCAAGGATCCAATGGTAATATTTTCAAAAGTTATTCTGATTATATCTTTATTTTACATGTTAGGTTAGTAGAATTTTTGAAGTCTTGGTTGTGTTCTAGGCATGCACTGTATTGGTTGAGAATTTGCCGGAGGATCATTCTGTAGAGAACCTTCGTCGAGTGTTTGGTGAAGCTGGAAAGTATGCATTTCAATTTAATCTATAAATACATTTTTGCTGTTAACCTGTCATTTCCTAGTTGTTGAAAGTCGTGTTACTTCTGACTGGTAGCATTAAGAGAATTACGGTTCGGGACCCACATGATGCCAAAGACCCAAAAAAGTGCACTGATGCAGAAAAGCTGATAAACGGGAAGGTAAATTTACTTATCGTTACGTGCTTTACCTAATATGAACGTAGCAGAGTTCTTCAATATGAACAAAATAATCTTGAGCTGGCCAATTACTACTAGTCACAACACTCTTTATGCTTGTGATATATCATGGAAAATACTTGACGTTTTTCAATTGAATTCACAGTAAACTGTTCAGTTGTAAAAATATAGATTTGTACGTCTCTCTTTTCTTACGTTTTGTGTGTGCTGTTGTTTCTAATTGGGTTACGTTTGCCTGCTTTTTTATTTGAAGATGCATGCTTTTATGAAGATTCATGCACTTGTGGAGTACGACAATTTGGAGGCTGCGGAGAAAGCTGTGAGTGTGAAGTGCACTCCCTGTTGTTCCATTGCATAAAAAATCCGCAAATGTTTTTTTCTTTCATTTTCTTTCTTTTTTCTGCTTATGTGGTGATTCATAATAGGTGGCAACTTTAAACAATGAACAAGATTGGAGATACGGTTTAAGGGTCAAGTTTGTCAAGAAATTGGTATTTGTTCCTAATGCCTTCTTTTATCTCCTTTTGGCAATGGAAAGCATAATGTATGTGACAATAGTGAGCCTGACCATTTCTCGTCTTTTGATCTCTTAGAAACCGGGGCATAAGATAAAAATGTGGAAGGAATCGGAGGCTGAGAAAGCTAGCAATGTTCAAACATTCGACCCATCTGTCAAAGAGGATAATCATTGCTCGACTGAACACCATGATGATTTGCATAATGAGGAGGTACTTATAAAATCATCCTTTGCTCCATAAATTACGTATAAAATGGATAATATTATTGTAAAGAAACTGCAATTATATTATAGAAAAGTTTGAATATAAGATGATGTTTATTCAATCGAAATTGTAATTAGGATGCGGATCATTTAACGAGAGAGAAAAACGAGGTGCATTTGGCTAAAGAGAAGAATGGGCAGAAAGGTCGAAACAGAGGACGTGGAAGGAGACAGCAGTACCACGGTCCAAATGGACATGGTAATTAATTCTATTACGATTTTTTCGCCAACATTCTTTTTTTTTTACTTTGTTTAAATCCTTGTTTTAAAAACCGAATATTGTATTATTTTTTCAGGACATGGATTTACGAGTCATGGGGTTGAACCATCAAAGCCGCCACCAGGCCCGAAAATGCCAGATGGAACCAAAGGATTTACGATGGGCAGGGGACGCCCTTTGGCTACCACCAATTGAAGACAACCTTAAAAAAAAAAAAAAAACTTTTCTATATCTGATTGCTTTTTGTAACATCAGTATACCATGGTGTCAATTATGTAATATTATGTCTAACATCTGTGGGGTTTTTTTGTGTAATGCGTGATATTTGCTGCTTCCTTTCGATTTTCGACTGTGGTCAAAAGTACAACTATGCGTATATATAAGTTATAACTGTTGTGTTCCGTAAGGTATGGCTAAACGGTTGGAGCAAGTTATCATGTGCCAATTGACCCAGTTCTACTATATATATATATATATTTGGAATATGAAACATGTCATATGGTATTATTCATGATTTCTCTTTCAAAAATTCGTTTTTATTATTTCAATTATAAAATTTATAATATGATACTATATTAATTTTAGTTATATTATAATTTCGATAATATATTAATAAAGTTGATTTCAATTTTATTTTTCCTACACATAAATTATTTCAGAGATTAATTCTCAAATAAAAAAGAGGCAACAAAATATCAATCTTAATTTGTGTGGAAGTGAACACTGTAATAAAAGGAAATAAAATTCAAATAATGTTGTTGGGCTATTCACCGCTCTGAAGGGTCAAATAACTTCGACCCGGTAATGCCCCGTCTTCTTTTGTCACGCGCAGAGGAGGCGCGTCCATCCTCGCAAGGGTAAAAACATTCGTAGATTTCGAAGTCCCTTCAAAACATTTCTCTCTCTAGAATATGCTTCTGCAACAAAAAAAATTCTCACTCAAATGCGTGCGTCTTCTCACACACCTTAGCTGGTGATGGACTACTGCTGCTGTTCTCCCACAGTCATGCAATCTCATGCTTCATGTACCACAACTAGTAGAAATCTCAATCATGTCGTACATAGTTTCTGTCGCTCGAATCCCCTAAAATCGCGCGTTTCGTTCGATTTCCGGTGTATAAATAGTAGATTTTCTTATTTTGATCGCAAGGTAAATGACTCAATTGATTTTGCGCGTATCTAATTTTTATTGTTTTCAGAAGAAACTAATTAATTCTCAGGTTTTTTTTTTTTCCGATAGTTATTTGAATCACGAGTTCGAAGACATGTGTTTCGATTCCGTCGTGGAGGAGTGCTTCGAGTTTGTGCCATGGATGATGTATTACTTCGTTTCTTTGCATTAATTTGTACCTTTTTGTTGATGATTAAATTAAGCACGGGTAATTGGCATTCCGTTTTGTTTTGGATTCATCTTGTTCTTCGTTTGCAGGATTTTTCGTCACTCGATGACTGGGGTGATAATAATAATCGACCGTTTGAATTTATGTATTCTTCAAGTGATGACAGTGATGGGGAAATCATGCTACAGCCGATTACAGATATCGATTTACCCACCCCAAAAGAGCGAATGCATACATCCGAAGACTCCATAACCGTGACTGCACACAGGCTTGCGACGCTCGGCAGAACACGAACGAAAAGAAAGTAAGCTCGCTTACAGTAACTGACTTTGTTCAAGGTTGAATTTAGTTAGTGGCTGTAGTAACACTGGTAATTTCGACACTTTTGACTTGCAGGACTATTTACGGAATTATGAACAATGTTGGTCTTGTGGTGTTCTCAACGTTCATTCTTTTTCTCGTGGATCAGTGTGCGTGGCGAATTGTGAGATTGCCTCTAGCACCATTCCACTTGATGAGACCGTTTCTGATATCCGTACTTTTAGTGTCTTGTGTTGGCTATATTTGTGTCCCGTTATTCCGTATATTGAAGCTTCGGGCAATAGCTAGGAGAGAGGCACCCAGTCAACACTCTCCCAAAAAAGGAACGCCTACAATGGGTGGATTGTATTTCATACCAATCGGTCTAATTGTTGCACAGTTTGTATTGAATTTCGCGTCCGCTGAAGTTTCTGGTGCAGTATTATCAACTATTGCATTTGCTGCAATTGGTCTACTGGATGATATCTTGAGCATCAACAATAATAATGTCGGCTTACCTGGTTGGATGAGAGTTTTGTTGGAGGTGAAGCTCAATTTCAGTTTTGCTGTTTCGTTTTTTTATTTTTTTTATTTTTTTCGGAGCTCTAATTTGAAGTTGTTTATGTTTGCTCAGGTAGCTGTTGGGATGTGGTTCTCGTATTGGTTGTACACGACAAACATAACAACGCCCTACAGCATGTATATCTTCTAGTAACTAATTTGATCAACCTTTTCTTAAGGGTAACTAACAATATCTATGCTTATAATGGTACTGTCGCGAGATGTCAGCCACCATTCTAAATTTGACCAACCTGTCAACATATTGTGCTATACAGTCTTCAATTGTCAAATTAAGCAAGACTTAGCGCGTTTTCTCTCTCTTAGAAATCAGACAGTTTGAGTAGTGACTAATGACTTGCTACATTACTTACACGTTAAAATTTTATTTCTATTTCAGGAAAAGGGTGGTTCCTTTACCAGCACCATTGGGCCTTGTTTCCATCGGAAAATTTTACCCGGTCTTGACTTCATTCTGTTTTGTTTCCATGGCAAATGGTATTAACTTAACTGATGGGCTTGACGGATTGGCTGCCGGCACTGCTGCTTTGGCATTTATCGGAATGTCGGTCGTGGTTCTTCCTATATGTTCTGGTAGTTTAGTAATCTTTTACTTCTGTATGGTCTTAATGTTCCAATACTAAAATTAAAACTATTATTGTATGCAATTTTGTTTTCTAATAGCGCAATCAATATCAGATCTTTCTGTATTTGGAGCATCGATGGCTGGAGCTTGTGTTGGTTTTCTTTTTCATAACCGGTATAGGGCTTCTATATTTATGGGTGACACCGGAGCTTTGGCTTTAGGTGGGGCCCTTGCTGCCATGGCTTCTTGTACAGGAATGTTCTTCCCATTGTTCATTTCATCGGGAATATTTGTTTTGGAAGCACTTTCAGTCATCATACAGGTATGTTTCTGTATTCCACAATGCTGTTATTTGAAATTATATTCCGTTAATATTTTTATTCAAGATTTGCCTTGTGCTGTAACATTCTTTTCAGGTATCCTTGTTCAAGGCAACGAAATATTTTCGACGAAGGGGATACAGATTTTTTAGAATGGCGCCCTTCCATCACCACCTCGAGTTATGTGGAATTAAAGAACCAGTAATTGTTGGTGCTGCATATGTTGTAGCATCTGTGTTGGTCATATTTGCTGCTTACGTCGGTCTTACTTCAGCATGACCTGCGAAACATTTTGTAGGTGATTTTTGTTATTTTTTTAGGACTGTTATTAGTTCCTCAAATCTCCTCCGAAGAACTCGTACCCATGTATATATAGTGAGCCGGCCAATTTTGGTTTTTCAGTTATTTCGGTTTGGTTGGGACTCTTCAGACGACAATATTACTAATTGTAGTAATTGTAACCGAATTGCATTACTAGTTAAGTTTTGCAATATCTGTATTCTTTCTGAGTTTTTATTTCCTTTAGTTCACAATTTTTGGTTACTGTAATTAACCAAAAATCATTTTGTTTTGGTTTCTGCCATGGGAGTGAGATGAACTAATCAAGTTATTAGCAAATCAATTGGCGCCAAATACAGATATGCATTTCAATTGGATATGTTGTATGTACATATAAAGCTGAGTCTCCTCCTCACAATCATCAAAGTTCCACACAAGTATTTCGATTAAGAAAACGAATCGAAATTAAGGACGAACGAGCATTTCTCTCTTGACATATCACATATACCCTTAAACAAACTGAAAGTGCCTCGTTACTGAATCCAAATTCCGCCATTTTTTTTTTTTAAATTTCCAAAAAACCCATTGTCTGAGAGAACCACCAGTTAAAAAATGGCATAAATGAACTCATTTCGTCTAATACTAGGCCCTTTCATGGAAAAAAAAGTCAAACATCTGCCGAGCAAATTAACTACAACGCTATCATAGCCCATATATATGTTATAGCAAAATTATCTTGAAATTGAGAACTTAAAACAAATTCGATATCATCACTCATCATCAGATCTCGACTCGATAGCCTCGAGAGCGTGGAGGACCAATTTGTACTTGAGAGGGCTGTCGTAAACCGTATTCGTATTGAATATTTCACGCTCCAACCAATAAGGGTCATACTCTGGCTTCTCTTTCATCTTCTGGAAGAACCTCTTCCATTGGTCCATGAGACGTCTCAGACGTATACTCTTTTGTCTTTTAAACACAAACTTTAGAAAGTCTTTCACTATCACAGTGATTTCCTCTCCTTCAATGATGTAGAAGTACTGAAATCAAACAAAAATAACTTCCGAGTTAATATACATAAACATGAACGAATTACACTTGAAAAGAATTCTATGTAGAGAAAGAGAGAGAGAGAGAGTACCAGAAATACAAAGCCGAGAGTTCCAAGAATCACTTGTACGAACTCATCCCACATTCCGGAAAGACTTTCATCCTCAGGCTCACCGGAACCACTACCGCCGCCATCACCGCCCCCGCCACCTGGAGGGTTGCCACCACTACCTCCATCATCATAGTACTCTTGTTTCTGAATCTGCTGCTTCAGCAGATCCTCGATCGACTGATCCTTTTTGAACTTGCCCATGGCATTTTCAAGAGCTTTCCATGGAGAAGCCTGGTACGAATAAGTAACAAGTGAACTCACATTTCAAAAGACAAACCAATCCAGGAGCTTTTATTACATAATGGATGCAAAAGAGACGAAAGAAATGTCAAATGATTCTGATTCTTGAGCAACTGATTGACCAATGTTCCCAAAACAATCAAGACAACCCAAAACAAATCAACATAAGGGTCGGAAAATCAATGACTAAGATCCAACATTAAGTGTGAACAAACCTAAGTCAAAATTTCATTTATGATACATGGATAAGATACATAATACATTGTTCACCGACTAATTTACCTCATTTTCACTCCCTGCTTTTCCCTTACCACCAAACAAACAGACAGTTGCAGCTTGCTGGTACTTATATGTAGCAGAGGTCAGTTTCAGAGGGATCTTAGGAAGTTTTGTTCCCAAAAAAATTGACGAGGGTATATATGTCTTTTTAAGTTTGAAAGCCTGGGCCGGAAATGCGGTAGGTGAACTAGCAAGCTGGCTGGCAGTTATAGAAAAGCTACTCATCTTGACAAATGGCTTACTTCATAATCCCACAGCTAGTTAAAGAAGAACTGCAAACATCTGCACCATTGTTACAAACCAAATCAAAGATTGATATTTAAACCATAATAACTAATAATTGATGCCAATCGTGGCGTAATTTTAGCCCAGCAAACTACATTATCTAATTGTATGAACAACCAATACCAACAGCTTCCTCGGTTTGCAAGATATTTGAATTAAATAAAATGAAATCATTTCGTATAATTCTCATAGAGCAGAGGGCACGATCATTTATCTTTTAACATACATATCATAATATACAAAGAAAATCGATTCTGACAACACAGGCAAATGAGATGGTCATTAACAAGAAATTAAAATGCAATTTTGCCATTTTAAAACAAACAATATATAAGGAGTACCAGAGTACTTCCATACGTGCGTAGGCAATCGTATAATGTCGGTACTACCAGACATTTGCCTGAAAATTAACATGACGAAAAGGGGTACAAAGTGAATGCAGAAAGCAGACATATTTTTGCTTAATCTTGTTCACTCGGTTCTCCTTTGTTCCGCTATCTTCTCTAACTCCCAATTTAATCAATGTGTTACGAACCCATTCGACGTTTCGTGTATTTTCAGTTTGGGAGGTTTCAAAATTAGGTAAATTCCAACTCTCATATTCTTAATCATCTTCCCTGTCTATACATTCAGCTTGTAACAGTCACAGTAGCTCCACCAAACGCAAGAAATTCACCCAAAGAAAAAAAAAAATGCAATATTTTTCACATAATGAACGGAAAAAACAAGCAGCAGTAAGAAGCATGAAATTACACAATAAAAACAAAGAAAATCAATTGAAATGATGAGAGCGTAACCTAGTTTCCGATGTTTAGAATGCGGCCAAACTCCGAAACCCTCGCCGTCGATGGAAAATGAAGGGGGATTACTCCAAGCTTTTTACGCGGATAATGTATCAGGAATAGGGGTTTTGACTGTTTGGTTTCTTTTTCCTTTTTCTAATCTCAAAGTGCAAAAAGAAAATATTATAAGGACTTGAATTGTAATTTTTTAAAGTGTGTACGAATCTCCAGTTCCGTTAACAAGTAACGGCGTTTGTTATATACGCTAATCCATATGTTATTTTTGCTTTATTTAATTACTATTATTGTTTCAGTAAATAATGTTTTGAACTCGAGAAAGAAGAAAAAAAAATCATATGAAAATTCGACCGTTTGTTTAATGGCGGCGGAAGAAGAACTCGGCATCTCCGCCCCTTCGTACCTGCATATGGTCTCTGCATTTCTCGCTTTGGAGCCACCCGACGTCGTTATCTCCTTCGCCAGGTAATTCATTATTCATTAGTTCCTTCTTCGACATAATACAAATCCAGGTTATTTATATGAATTTCTTTTTTCGAATAGGGATTTTGGCGGAGGTTACATTACAGAGAGCGTACAGAAGTGCATATGGCACCACTGTATTGCGAAATCAGTAAGTATTCTTCTTTCTCGTAGTCAATAATAAACCAATGAAAAAGGGGGAAGATTTTTGGTAAAAACCTAAATTGGGGGTTTTTTCTTCAGGATGTGAAGTGGAAGGGTGCTTATTTGAAAAGATTTCTCAAGAAATTTATTATGGAAATCGAATCGAGTGGCGGCGTTGTTTTGGATGAATTGTACGAACAGTACGCTTCCTATATGATTTCATTACAGGTAGTGATATAAAACCCTAGTTTAACTGTCCAAATTCTTCTCTGTTTTGCTGAGTTTAAATCTATTTCTATGTTGGTTAGGATGATGATGCCAGTAAAGCGAACTCGAGAGTCTTGAAAACAATCTCGTTTCTTTTCCCTAACGGTAACTTTTTACGGTTCCTGACTGATTTCGTGCACACATTATTTTCGAAAGTATTCGCAGTTCATATTATCATAGTATTTTCTTCTTACTATTTTGATACATGTGTAGAGTCGTATGGAACCGTAAGTTGTCCAAAGTCCGGAAAATTAGAGGTTCAGCTTCAATGTTCAGTCAACATGCTAGAAGGTGATACTGGGTAATGTATTCTACCAGCATTTTATTATATTGAAAAACGAATGCACATTGAGCATATAATTCACTGGACTCTCTGTTTTTCGTTTTCTCTAAAATTTCATGAGTGAGAAACTCGACATCTTTGATTGCATATTATGGCGCATCAAGTCTTCATATGTAAATGTTGATGTAGGTGCTCTATTTGGCCGTCAAGTCTTTTCCTGTCGGAATTTATACTTTCTTTCCCAGAACTATTCGCAAATAAACGTTGCTTTGAGGTGAGATAATGCATTTTACTTACGGAATTGCTAATTTTGTGGGCTGTTGAGTTATTGAATCTACTCGAATTATGATTTTCTTACGTGTCAACAGGTTGGCTCGGGAGTTGGATTGGTTGGCATCTGTCTATCCTATGTGAAAGCATCTAACGTACGCGTCTGCATAGTGTATACATAACTTAATGAAGTGGCCTTCCCTGAATGATTTTGATGATGATGCAGGTGATATTAAGTGACGGCGACCTATCGACGTTAGCAAATATGAAGGTTAACTTGGAACTGAACCACCTGAGCACAGGAAATATCAAATCAGACAGCCTCGAAAATCACGATATGGTTAGTCACAGTAACACTTTCCGTGTGTCTCTCTGATTAATTATATATATTTTCTGATTTTGTTATTCTTCTTCAAGGCCTTGAAAATCACGATTTCTTTGTTTATTTTAGGTGCATTGCGTTTGTTTGCCATGGGAATCTGCATCAGAGGATAATCTCTGTAGCTTTGCTCCCGACGTAATGTAAGTACTGCATAAATAGACGTAACCAAGTATCAAAATATCGTTGATTCTGTAAAGAAATATTATGAAATAATCATTTACTCTATTTTCTGCAGTTTAGGAGCTGATATTATTTACAATCCATCATGCCTTCCTCACCTCGTACGAGTTTTGACCGGTCTTTTGACGCACGAACATCCAAATGCTAGTGGCCCTGTTGCATATATTGCTTCCGTGGTTCGTAATATCGACACTTTAAATTATTTTCTTGCGCTGGCCGAAAAGGCAAAGCTTATCGTCACGGATCTCACTGAAAGCACCGAAGTATCTAATTTTCTTCCTTACTTGAGATCGTACAATCAATGTAGCATACGATTATTCAGAATTTGTCTGGCTTCGAAGGTAGCCTAGTTATTGAGTAGTAACTCCTTTTCTTTCTTTCTTTTTTTTCTTTCTAATTGGCCTTCTCTACAAACTTTTGTATCAGATTGTTATGTATTTATTATGATTTATGATGATATAACAATGTTTGTCAAGTCTTCTAAAACTATTGTTTTATTGAAATTTTTATATCTATAATTATATTAAAGTAAAATTGGAATTTAAAAGGTATTGGAATTCTTATGTAGATACCATTTTTAATCTGGTATGACTTTTCCTATACACAAGTGGGATTTGGGAGGAAGTCAGACAAAGAAAAAGTAATAAAAAAAAAATAATAAAGAAGAGAGCCACCGAAGAACAACGCGGCAAGGGTAAGGCTTCCAGCAAGAGATCATCTGAAAGGGAGCAATAAGCGAAGCCGGAACCCTAATACCACGATCCTATCGTCGATTATTAATCGGTGGAAAATGAGTGAAGAAGGCGGAGGGAAGACCAGGGGCGTTTCGGTCGCCGCCGGCGAACATTCTTCGCATCCGCCGCCCAATTATTATTATGGTACTTTTCAAGGCGTGGCCAATTATCAACCTCAGCCTCCGCCGCCGTCTCATCTAGTTATGGGCATCCCTCAGCCCGTGCCTCCTCCTGCCTTTTCCGGCCCTCCACCGATGTACTATCCTCCTGGATTTCAAGCCCTTCCAAGTATTCCTATTTCCTTTATTGTTTACGATTTTTTTCGAGATCATTCCTTTGGGTATATTGCTTCAATTTTTAGAAATTGATTATTTGGATCGTATTCACAATTTTATGATTATGTTCTAGAGAACGTTGGGTAGGTTGTTTTTAATTGGGAATATATAATGCACGAGGGTCGTTGTTTTTAATTGGGAATTCGGAACGAATCTGGTGTTGTTCGTCTTGTAAAAATGAATTGCTCATAACAATTTCACTTTAGGCAGATATAGTACCACTGTACCATGTATTTAGAATATATGTTGGTCACCGATTTAGTTGGATGGTTCGTTTTTGGTGGATGAAAAAATATAGTAACTGATCGGGATCGAGGTAAATTATTAGGCAGGTCGGCCTGCCATGGCAGGAATAAAGTCATTGATAGTGCTTTAGACATTTTGTACAAGGGTGCAAGAAGAATAGCAATTCACAGTAACTTTTTAAATTAAATGAAAATTAGCTGCTGGTTTACAATTGTTACTATCCTTTTAACCTTATTTTTTTTTTCTTTTTTTTTTTTTTTATCTTCCGTGGTTGTTCCAGCTTATACTATCGTTGAAGGAAGACCTTATAGAGAGGAGAGGCTCCCTTGTTGCGGTGTGGGCCTTGGATGGTTCTTGTAAGTTATCGTTTGAACTGCGATACTCTTTATACAGAAATGTCGATTGATTTTAGAAAACCTCTTTGCATGAATCTTGATTATTTACATATCGCAGGGAGTTGGTAACGAATTTTAGCTGAACGCAATATTTTTAAAATGTTGATAGTTGAATTTTAACCTTTTGACATTTGCTGTAATTTCTTTATTAAAAAAAAATGGTGCTACACTTGTGGTAAAGGTTTGTGTTGGTGCCGTTTATTTTAGAACTTGAGTGGGATCTTATACTTTAATTTTGTTAAATGTGATTTGGTCATGTTGATTGATTTTACTTAACTTTGTTGAAAGGTTTATCGTTGGCTTCTTTATGGGTGCGATTCCTTGGTACATTGGAGCTTTTCTGCTGTTATGTGCTCGTTTGGATTACAGAGAGAAGCCTGGACTCGTTGCATGCTCTATAGCTGTAAGTGTCTTTTAATGATCCCTTTTAGTATTCCGTATGCAGTATTTAAGTGTTCCCGAAATTGAAGGATTTGTTTAATTTTGCATAAATTTGTCTTTATATTTGAAAATTTTCATTATGATGTTTTGAAGCTATCATTAAAATGTTTTTTTTTTTTCCAGTTCAATGATATTGATTGGTACTCAATACTCATGTTTAGAGCTTTGTAACATCGGACAATTCCTCTTTGGATCATATGTTCTCTAACTAGTATTCTTTTGACCGGTTTAATAAGTATTTTCGTTTATGTTTCACATTCTGGATTAGTTTCATCCGTATATTGATTTAATTTTAGACATGAAATGGTAGGGGAACTCAGCGGGATTCATATGCTGGACTGCGTCACTAATTGAATCAAGTGTACAATATCACCACCATGATAGTTGATGTTTATAGATCTCTTACTCATATTAGTGTATTTTGGCTATATTTGATATATTCCTGGATTTTGGGATCGGAATGAATATATACTTGATTTCGAGCCGTTTACACTTACTTGCTTAGGTTTCGCAAACATTGGATAAAATTCATAAAATATACTGACGTGTGCTTATGAACAAATTGCAGGCTATTCTAGCTGCTCTTGCTGTTACTCTTGGTGTGACAAGGGTGACTCATTCTTGGTGAATCTTCAAGTTTGTACATTCTCCAACCGAATGAATTTGGTCTATTGTAATTATTTTATATTTCTGGTTTTTTCATCACTGTATGAGGATTTGGTCATTGGTTCAATAAATTGGTATTTATATAATTATATTTTTTAGCATGTTTTGAAAACACGGTCCGGGTGCTCGGTAAGAAATTGTTACTGATTCGTGACTCTATCTTACTTGAATGAATTTTGGAAATATATGTTGGAATATTATTGTTAGAATGATATAACGCAAGCGTAATAAATTATGAAACGGAGAAAAAAGCAAAAAATAAAAAAATATCTTTATATTTGTAAGATGATATTGCTAAGAAAAAATTGAGAGTAATTTATTTTAAAAGTCACTTCAAAATATAAATAATTTTCCTCATTAAATTAAATAAAAATTAGCAAAGCTCAAGTCACAAATGTGGGTCCAGCCCACATAATAATAATATAAACTTGTTCGAGACCAGCAACCCAATCGTGTTATTGGTTAAAGACGAAAGCCCAAATAATAAGAAAAGGGGGTAAACCGAAGCCCATCACAAACTAGGGTTTCTCAATTTTCCAATTCACAAAACCCTAAACACACGCATCTCTCTGTCTTTCATCTGCCCACACTCCACGCTCCGGGAGAGAGAGAGAGAGAAGAGAATTTCGGACTACCGTCGGAAATGGTTACATACAGGGTACGCTCCGTCGATATTTTCACTACATTTCCAGCATTTTACTCTATCTACATTGCTAAAAATTAGGTCTGAAACGTTGTGCAGATCCATCAGTACCAGGTGGTGGGCAGAGCTCTGCCGACGGAGACCGAGGAACACCCGAAGATCTACCGTATGAAACTTTGGGCCACCAATGAAGTCCGCGCCAAGTCCAAATTCTGGTATTGCCATCCTTAAAACTATTGGAAGATCATACCTTTTACACAAATTTAACAAGTCCAAATTTAACCTAAGTGTGTTTCAATTGGTGTTTCTTATGTAGGTACTTTTTGAGGAAGCTTAAGAAGGTCAAAAAGAGCAATGGCCAGATTCTTGCTATCAATGAGGTACATGATCTCATCCCATTATTCAATCATTTGTGGTAATCGATATATACTGCAAGATCATCTCAAAGTGTTCCTAATTCTGAATTGCATTGCTTTGCGATTACGTACTTTGTTTATCCTGTCTATTTTTTATTTTTGGATTGAGCTGCTATTGAAATTAGCATTTGGATAGATGGATAGAGCGCTACTGCAGTCGTAAAAGTTTGTTGATGTCATATATTGGAAGACGGAAGCTGTTGCATTTGTCGTGTTTGGTTATACTTGTCTTTATATTCGGTTTTAGTGCATGTAGTTGTGCTTTTTGATCTAGTCGTCCATTATTCACTTAAACATGATTTTATACCATGTGAACAGAAGCTTTAAGTATGTCGTCATATTTTGCCTATCAAGGGAATGATGGTGGCTAAACCAATTAGCCTGCTGTCAGTCGTATTTTCCCACTCTTGCACAAATGGTCGTTGCAAAGGTTTTCAATTACACCATAGTAAAATTTAGACTCGTAACATGTTGTTTTCAGGGGCATGACCATGAGATTAGAGAAGTTTGCGTCTATGAACCTTATTCTTTGTGTTTCTCCTTGTATCAGTGTTCAAAGTTCATATTTTTCATATGTTGGGTTTATTTAAGATTCACTCATTTCAATGTCTTTGATCGATATTGATTTTTTTTTCCTGTCTGCTTGTAGATTTTTGAGAAAAACCCAACCACAATCAAGAACTATGGTATCTGGCTGAGGTATCAAAGTAGAACTGGTTACCACAACATGTACAAGGAGTACCGTGATACAACGTTGAACGGTGCTGTCGAGCATATGTACACTGAGATGGCTTCTCGTCACAGGGTCCGTTACCACTGCATCCAAATCATCAAAACCGCCACCATTCCAGCTAAGCTTTGCAAGAGGGAGAGCACCAAACAATTCCATAACTCCAAGATTAAGTTCCCTTTGGTGTTCCACAAGGTCAGGCCACCAACGAGGAAGCTCAAGACCACATACAAAGCAACGAAGCCCAACTTGTTTATGTAAACAGTTTCGTGTTGTTATTCGAGGGTGAGAATCGCTGCATTTGTGTGTGTGCTCTAGAGAAAAAGATGAACAATCTTTACTAGTTTTGCTGAACACAGACCATTTTGTTGACCTAGGACACATACATTGGAATTTTGATTTAGAGGATTATTCTCAGTTCTATGGTTTTTTTTTAGACAGTTATTAAGATTTATCTCCTTTCTGGTTCATTACTATTTATTTCCTGCCATAATTTTTTCAGTGTTTTTGTGATTTTTCCTTGCGTACTTGAAATTTTTGTTATGCAAAAACCTAAGGCCTCGATTGGTTGTAAAGTACCTTCGATGACCCATTGAAAAACATATCTAGATGGTAAGATAAATAATGATAACCTAATTTTTGTGGGCTGATCTAGCCGATTATTGGTGATAACGAAATCAAACAAAGTTCAATTATTTAGTTTAATCATTCCGATCAAACGAGGCATAGTTAACCATTCCATCCAAAAAATTAAGGATAGTGATCTAAAAATAACTTGGTATGCAAAAATGTGTCAACAGAAAATTGAAGGATATTAATGGTAATTCACATTAATAATCTACAAAATATATATGAAAAATCATATGTATTATTAATTGAAATTGAAATTGAAATTGAAATTATAAAAAAAAAAAAAGAAAACAAAAATTGAAATTGAAATTTACCACGTTACGTTAATTTACGCTCATTTGAAGATTATCGGGTACGCCCGGTTCAAAAATCAACTTATAATCCAGTCCTCGAAAACCTCATATTTCCCAAACACACCCCGACAATCTACATACAGAGAGAGAAGAGAGAAGAGAGAAGAGAGAAGAGAGAGAGAGAGAGAGAGAGAGAGAGAGAGAGAGGATGGCCGGAGAAGAATCAAAGGGGGCGGCGAGGAAGAGAGGGGTGGAATCGTTAGGATGGCTGACGGAGTCAACCATCATGCCACGCAAGCAGCGATCGATCGAAGGAGTTGGTGCTTCCTCCATCCTCGAGCTCAAGGCCCAGCTGTACATGTCCCAGGAGGAGTCCAAGCGCCACCCCAAAGAGCCAATTAACTCCGCCGACCGTCAATACGCCCAACATCTCGAGGTCCACCGCGCCAAGAAGATTATTTCAGGACAAGATTCTTTCGCCCCTAAAAACTCCGGCGTCGACGCCCGTGCTGCCAAGTTCGTCAATCTGTTCATTTTCCTTATTCAATTACGTTTTATTGATTGGAATTTATTCCCGGTGGCGATTATCATGTGTTTTATTTTGGGGCGTGTGATTAGGGTTCTAGGGTTTCATTGATTGGTGATTTCTAACCTACATCTACTGAAGAGAATGTGATGAGGCTAATTATTCTTCTGCCTCTGTGAGTTTTGTGTTCATTATGAATGTGGCTCTCGGTTATGCTGTGATTAGTTTAAGCGTAATGTATGTTTCAGAATTTTGATTGCACGGCATTTCTAGCGATAAATTCATAACTGCAAGATGCAACTTTGTCTGACTGAAAATCAATTTCTGAATTTATGACCTCATGTTCTTGCTTTGAATGAAGTTATGATATAAAACTGTCTCGGACTTGCCATTGGTTATTTTAAGTGAAAGTATGAACTAACAGCCTCCGAGGGCTGCTCTTGATTTATTGGTTATTTACACTGTCGTATCTTTTTTTTTCAGGGATAAACTTGAACTAAAAGCCGTCAAGGATGGATCAGCAAGCTATGCTGCATTGGAGAGGAAAGCAGAATTATATGAAAAACTTGTTAGGGGAGAACTTTCTGACGAAGAAGATAGTGAGAAGTACTGTGTTGATTTCTTTCGGAAGGGTCTAGAGAAGGACGAGTCACGGAGCCCTCAAAGGGTTGATACTTCTCCACGACAAGCCCAAGATATTCATGGTGATGGTGGTGGCGATGATTTTGTGTCAAACGATACGAAAGCTGCTGGGCTTGGGAAAACATCTGCTACAGTTGACAGGAGTCAACATAAGCACTTTGTACAGTAAGTTCTTCGGTGCTCTCTGCCTTCTGTGTGCTGTTTCTTCATTGTGTGCTCCTTCTTTATATGATTTGATGTCTGGATTAGTTTTTAGTTGGGGAGACTCTGTTACCAGAATCGTTGGAAAAAGGAAAAACCGATTAGAAATAAGATGAACATATTATCTATATCCGGTTGACTTGTGTGGGAATTTTCCATTAGATGCCATATTCATATGTATTTGAAAGCCATTGACTCTTCTGTTGTGATATCATGTGAAACTAATTTTTATTTGGTTTATTGATTCCGTTCGCAGGGAGGTTCATGAAGAGGCAAATGAAGCGAGGGAAAAGGTGTCGGAGCTCAAAATGCGCAGGCAAGAGCAAGCAACTGCTCGAAGAGAGAAACTGAAGCAGGCCTATCTCCGGAAGCAACTAGATAAATTGAAAGCATCTAAAGCAGATCAAACTTCACATTGAGGTGATTAATTATTTAATTTGCAAATAAACGTGATAGTACGTAGCGATTATGAATTTTGATTCAGCCTCAAGTCTCTTACAGAGTTGATTAGAATTAACATGTATAAGTCTTGCGAATATTAGTTGGTCGATAAATGGAATTTGAGGATATTGAATCACTTACAGAGTCGAATTAGATGGAACTGTAAAAGAAAATTGGACATAGAACTAGAAAAATAAATTTTATTGAATAGTGAAAATATTTATGGAGGAACACAAATAGAGAACTTTCCAAGAAAAAGAAGGAAAAAAAGAAAAGAAAAGAAGAAAATATAATGTATCCCCGAATGTTCGAGCTGCTTGGTCGAATCTGACAATTCTTTTGTCTTGGCAAGATCCCCACGTAACCACGTCTCTTTGGAAAGTATTTTTGCTAACCTAATAAGTGCCTCCTCGTTTGTTTCTTTAGTAGAGGGAACATAGTCTTGAGTGTGCAAGTTTGGTGTTGAAATAGGCTTTTTCAGCAACTTCTCTCCAACTTTGACGAGATCCTTCAAAGTCTTCTTTGTGGCAACATCCACAGAAGATGTTATTCCCACTATCGTCTTGTCCTGAAAATTATATTTATAACTCCACTTTGAACAGGTTTGAATTATATTATATGTATTACATGTGAATAGATTGAAATATTTGATTGAACGGGAAAAGAATTGCGTACCTGGATCCTCAGAAAATGTCCACTAGAGTGAAGGTCTTCAGCAAAAATAGAACTGTATCGATCAGTAATGTCTTGTATAGCTCGAAAAATTACTTCCAGCAAGGCTTTCGACTTGTGATTTTTCAACCATCTAATACTACTCCACTTTGATGCTTTTTTGGCATCATATCTACGAATATGTGCCGAACCAGTTCCGAGAGACAAAACCAGAAGCTGGCCTTTTTTCTTCTTCTGTCTTATTTCACCTATTGCAATCAAGCTCTGCAATGGTAACCGAGAACAAAGAATATATTAGTTATATGTTCTTGAATTTCGACTTGCATAGGAAAAATCTAAAAAAATATATGGAAAGTTTTGAGATATTTATCGGATCATTAGCAGCTATACCGCCATCAATGAGGTTGTGTTTTGTAGACTCCCCGTTTGAATCTTTTGTTTTAAAGTAACAATAAAATAAAACGTGACATTAATAAATATAAGTATGATATATATATATATATATATATATATATATATATATATATATATATATATATATATATATATATATATATATATATATATATATATATATATATATATATATATATATATATATATATATATATATATATATATATATATATATATATATATATATATATATATATATATATATATATATATATATATATATATATATATATATATATATATATATATATATATATAAAGACAAATAAAAGCAGTGTGGAAAACACACAAACCTCGAAGCTGGAGAAGATAGTATGCGTCATCTTCTTGATATCGAATGTGGGAATCACGATATTTGTGAACGTATCGTGCAATTTTGTTTCTTCAAGTTTGTTCCTAAGAAGGGCTCGAAGATATTTGCCATCGTATTTTGGCCCGGATAGTAAACACTTCATCATTGTTGCAGTGTGACTAACAAGATTATCCTTGAAACCAACCAATTACACGTACTTTTTAACTTCAGAACTAAAATTAATTATGAAACATATATATATGACGTATCAAAATTACAAGAAAAGTAGTACCTCTCTTGGGGAAATATTCGTGGACACTTATCAAGGTAGAAATATTTAATATCTTTCGCAGCGAACAGTGGTCGATTTTTTTCGTCTGGAGCAGTATTGCAGTGACGAGACCTCCTGCTTGCGATTACATCAAAGTAATCCGCAAGTCTAACATCTGCATCGTCCAATTTCTGAAATCCACGCATAAAAGCAAACATTGTAAAATCAACTACGTAGCAGTTGAAATTCGAGAAATATGAAGTAATACGTATGAAGTGATATATACCCGAATGTCACGGTTCGCCAGTTTTTGCCCAACCCTTTGCCAGTTTCCTTGGGTTGGAAGGTTAAGAAGTCCAAAACTAAGCTCAAATGGAGTAGGCCCAAGCCCAAGTGTATATAGATTATACAGATTCTTGGAGGATTCTAGAAAACTTTCTAGAACCCTCCCGTTTTAGATATTTTATAGGAATACTTTGGACTGTTCTAGTGAACTACTCCTACCCGTTGACTTCATTTGTAATCATGCAACAAGAATTCAACAAATCCAAGACATTCACAACGCATTCATGACTTAGCTATTGGCGTATCACACGAGAATACAAATCCCAGACATTCACAACGTATTCTGAAAATGCTGACTTAGCTATTAGCGTATCACACGAGAATGAGCTAAAACCTGATTATGAGAATATACAATGGATAACCTTGAGCCAAGGTCTATATATAATGTGAATTATTAGTTTTCAGAATAGAAACTTCCATATGTAATTACATAAACTTTTATCTATGAAAGGATTTTGGATAATACGTTTTATCTACTTTGGATCACAATTTTCAGCATTTTCCATATTTATATGCGGCGGACTATGCGTTTTAATTTTCAATTTTCATACACTAAATTTCAAGGATCAAAAAGTTGTGTTTTCGGGAGTATATCGGAGTTAAATCCACAAATAGATGAGTAGAATCTTTAGAATTGGCAACTCTATCTTATTTCTATTTATTTCTGAATCAATTTACACGTGTTTTCCTTCAAAATAATCATGTTATTAAAACATGATTAAATTACACGTATATAATCATAAAGCATTGGGCCTCCATTAATTTTGACTCCCCCAAAGAAACCAAATTGATTTCGGCTTTTCATAAATAAAAATGATTTGGGCTTTCATTAATTTTGACCCAAATGAAACAACAATTAGGAAAATTCCTCTAACCTTAGGTTAAATTACTAAAGACACTCTCATCTATTTGTTATTATCAAAATTCCTATGATATTTGTTTTCGTCCTCCACTGACGTGTTTACGGTATGATTTTTCATAAAAAAATATTTTATTCCAAATAATATTTCCCAAAAATATTGATTCTACCCCTAAAAATGTAGAAGAGATTGAAGCCATGCACAAATGTTATACAACTGCTTATGTATGCTTGATGGTTCATACTAGCAAAATCCATAAAGTGTAGTGACATTGCAATATGATGTTTTAGATAATGAGGTTGTTGCAGATACCAGTGCCACCTACATTTAAACTGTTCTTAGAGGTAAAATCGGTAGTTGTCGAGAAATATTCCTTGAAAAAAAAAATATCGTGAAAAATCACACGGTCGGTGTAAGAATGAAACATATGTCGAGGATTTTGGTAATATATGGATAAATAGATTTTTCTTTTGTAATTTAGCATAAGTCTAGGGAGGTTTTTGCAGTTTTTTTTTTTTTGAGAATATCTAATGCCACGAAGACAGCACCCAACCAAACGTATATACTCGTGGCGGGTATAATTTCCTGACCTTATATTAAAAAATAATTATATAATATAAAAAATAAAAACAAGCCAATGGCAATGGCTACTAATCTCTTCCACAGAATCCCTCCTCTCTCTCATTCCTTCTCTTTCACCACCACTACCAATCCCCGCTGCACCTCTTTCCACCTCAAAGCAGCGTCAACTGTTGTAAGTTTCTTCATCTTAATTCTCAGCTATTTCTTTCTCTCTCTACAATTTTTCCCGCATTTCTGTTTAATTTCTATAACCTCGATCATTTTTTTTCAAATTGTGCATTTCGTAAATGCATTTGATTGGATGGTAGATGGAGGGAAGCGAGATCGAGGAAGAAAAGGAAGGTTCTAGTGTGAGAAAGAAGATATTTGTTGCGGGGGCCACTGGGAGCACCGGGAAGAGGATTGTGGAGCAGCTTCTGGCTAAGGGATTTGCTGTTAAAGCTGGTGTTAGGGATGTCGATAAGGCTAAATCCACCTTCCCTGGAAACAATCCTCATCTTCAATTTGTGAGTTTATACTCTAATTATTTGCAGCTTAAACAATTTTTAATTATCACTCTCTTTTTGTTGGTTCTGTTCTGTGATTGGACTTCAATTAATTTGGTAGTTCGGAAGTATTTGTTTTCCCCAAATGTGTAGTAAGTGTTGATTTTTGACCTCATATAATCTCAGTTGAAAATATTCTGAATTAATGAAGTATATATTTTGGTATTAGTGAAGTTTCATTTGAATCAAATCATGAAATAAGAAATACCCTATTATTTGCTCGATTTTTACTGTATATTTCGAAGGGAAAATTTAATCCTCGAAATAATGAAGTATATAACTCTTGTAATTAATCCTCAAAACTCTTGTAAAAATTTATTATTACAGTTAGTAACTTTCAAGTTCTACTATTTTCGGTTGGCAGCACAAAATCGTTTTTCGATCAAGTAATACGAACTTACAAAACATCATATACGAACACATCAAAGTAGCACTGTTTTTGTCCAATTTATATGGGGCTAAAGAAGGGACTTCAATCTTTTATTCTTTATTATATGTTATATTATATTATTTAATTTCTACTATTATATGTCTTGATATAATTGTGTGTTACGAATCCGGAAAATAATACAAGTGAAAAAAGAAAGAATGAAATCAGAGATAAGGCTCCACTGATAACATAGGATTTCGATTCGAATGACGGGAAGTGGACTAATTACACATATACCATTATGGCTCTAACTAATGACATGCACTTTGGTTTCCAGGTGAAAGCAGATGTGACAGAGGGTTCGACAAAATTAGCTGATGCGATTAGCGATGATTCCGATGCAGTAATATGTGCTACAGGTTTTCGGCCTTCGTGGGATCTGTTAGCTCCATGGAAGGTTGGTTTTTTTTGTGGCGGTTTATTGAGTGTTCTTCGTCGAATGCAAATTCTTCGTTGACTTCTTTGATCTTTTTATACTTGCAGGTTGATAATTACGGCACAGTAAACCTTGTTGAAGCTTGCCGCAAGAAAAATGTGAACAGATTTATTCTCGTAAGTTCAATTCTAGTGAATGGAGCTGCCATGGGCCAGTTGTTAAATCCTGCTTATATATTTCTCAACGTATTTGGGCTCACCTTAGTAGCAAAGCTTCAAGCAGAACAGTACATTCGAAAATCTGGTATCGATTATACAATTATCAGGCCTGGGGGATTAAAGAACGATCCACCTATGGGTAATATAGTCATGGAGCCGGAGGTAATATAATTAATGATTTTCCGAGAGTTTCATTACAACGGGTATTTCTTGTTCACTAGCTAACTCCGCTCGAATTCTATCCTTTTTAAAGGATACACTTTATGCAGGTTCAATATCGAGAGATCAGGTGGCGGAAGTTGCAGTTGAGGCACTGCTTCTTCCGGAATCTTCCTACAAAGTTGTGGAGATTGTTGCTCGGACCGAAGCTCCTAAGCGTTCGTTTGACGAGCTCTTTGGTACTATCAAACAAAAGTGACTTTGGCGGCCAATTCTCACTATTGCAGAGTATGAATTTGAATTTGGTAAAACTCAAAACACAGAATTTGTAATCCAGTTTGTATTCTTTTAAGTTCTAAGTCTAGCCATATTGAAAAGAGAAAAAGAAAAAAAAAAAAAAAAAAAAAACATGGGCCCACAAACGTGGAAGGCCCTCTCGCAGTCCTCGGTGAAAGCCCAACCTCCCTTTGCCCAATCATAAAGCTCCATCCCACAATCATGAATCATGATTGATGATAAAGAAATACTGCACTAACAAAAAGTAAAATAAATAGTGACGTGTAAATTCTTTTCTGAAAATATGCGAAATAAGATAATTTGCCAATTATGAATTACTTATCTATCAGCGACTTAACTCTGATATAAAATAAGGAAACAAAATTCTGATCTTTTAATAGATAACTAGTAATTGTACCCGTGCGATGCACGGGACAACAAATTGCATTGTTTTGATATTGTAAAAATATAAACAAACGTTTGATGTATCGTATGATCAAAATTCTATTATCCTGGAACATCATTAAGTATACTACACACAAAAAAAAGGAAATACCTTTACTGTTGAATAATTTTCCAAATGAATTGAATCAGCTAATACCAGTAGATTGAAAATTTGAACCAGGAAAAAAATCATCAACTATGCCTTTCATGTTGAGCTTAAAAGTAATTAGATTTAATAACTTAGTTAGCATAATCAAAACTAAACTATCGACAACATAAAAGACCATCTATACATCTTGCATCGGAACTAAACCCTTCTCCACTGCCTCATTTTCAGGCTGTTTTGCCACTGGAATTAACAATTGGAAAATTAAGAAACAAAAATAAATATAAACAATAAATTATCGCATACAAACAATAAGTCTTGAAGGTCGACTTCCAATAGCTTGTGGCTCCGCCCATTTTTGGTTAATTCTCTCAAATCATCAATTTCAATAACATGTCCAATAACTTGTCCAATAACATATAAAATGAAATAATTGCTATACATAAAATTTGAAAACTTTGGTATAAATTAATGAAACACATAATTTAACAAAATGAAATTACCTATAAGCCATGATGGAAAAAGATGTAAACTAATTGCCACACAGTCAATAGGAAGAAGAAGATACAAAACAAAATCTAAAGTCGGGTTACCAAAAGAATAAGCCTTAGGTAGGGAAGAAATAAAATTCAAATGTTGCAGACATTATGTAAAACGATGTCACAAAATTCGCTAGGGATGAAAATCAGATTTATTTACCATTTTCTGTAAAAATCGAAAATCAAATTATTATAAATAATATCTAGGAGAATTTGATGAAAATCGATAATAATATTTAAAATAATATTTAGGAGATAAAAATTTGATAAAAAAATCAAAAAATAATATTTAGGAGATAAAAATCTGATAAAAATCGAAAATAAAATTTAAAATAATAGTTAGAAGATAAAAATTGGATAAAAATCGAAAATAATATTTCAAATAATGTTAATGAGATAAAAGTTGATAAAATACGAAAATAATAATTAGAATAATATTTAAGAGATAAAATATGATTAAAATCAAAATTATTATTTAAAATAATATTTAGGAGATAAAAATTTGATAAAAATCGAAAATAATGTTTAGGAGACAATAATCTGATAAAAAACAAAATTAATATTTAGGAGATAAAAAACTAATAAAAACATGATAAAACTCGAAAAAAATATTTAAAAATATTATTTAGGAGATATAACTTTGATAAAATTCGAAAATAATATTTAGGAGATAAAAATCTGCTAAAATTTGAAAATTATATTTAAAATTATAGTAAGGAGATATAAAATTGATAAAATTAAAAAAATATTATTTATAATAATATGTAGGAGATAAAAATTTGATAAAAATAAAAAATAATATTAAGGAGACCAAAATCTGATAAAAATAAAAAATAATATTTAAAATAATATTTAGGGGATACAAATATGGTAAAATTCGAAAATAATATTTAAAATAATATTAAGGAGATAAAAATTTGATAAAAATTGAAAAACAATTACAAATATGACATTAGGGTTTCTTAGGGTTGCCCTAACGTTTCTTTCTTTTATATATAAGATACACGGTTCGTTCGACCCTACACCCGGTGATAAACACCGGGTGAGTCTTCTGCTGGCACGTGTTCTTTTTTTTATTTTTCTAAAACCCTTAAAGATAAACCCTAGCGAGGAATCTATTATAAAATACAAAAAAGAGACACGTGGCAGCAGAAGAGCCACCCGGTGTTTATCACCGAGTGTAGGGTCGAACAAGTCATAATATACCATATGTAAAAACTAGATTCTATATTTTTTTTTATCAAGAGGAAAGTTCCCATAATTCAAAGAGACCAGCTGTATATGTAGTACTTTTAGGGGCCTTTTGGTTCAGTTGATTAGCCCTGATTGACAGTATAATCCATGCAGTACTGGCGTTTGGTTCATGTGTCACGTACCCGGGATTGATCCTCGGCCCGGGTCTGTGTCCCTTATTTGCGTGATAAGTCATCCGGCCAGGGAGGGTGGGTTCATGTAATCCGATGTTAAACTGATTGTGGGAGGAGTGCGAAATTACTTAGACACCCTCACACTGAGTCCATTATTTCACTTGAACCCGATATAAAAGCTTTTATTCTCTCCCAAATCGTTCTCACCAGCCTTAACCCTGCAACTTGTATATCACGACCTTCTTCCCCCTTCTCATCTATCTCTCTGTTGCGTACTAATTGTTGCTTCTTAATCTAACTATTTCTCAATTTTAACATTATTAGAGTGGAAAATCGGATTAGAAAGGCAATTGTTTGCAGTCTCGGCGTTTTCCGATGATATCTGGACGTTTTCCGGTGGATTTATCGTCGGATCTTGCAGTTTCAACTTTATACGCTTCAACTCTTTGAGGCTAGTAACTTATACCCTTGGTTCTTATAAGTTCTTATTTTCTTCATGTAACCCTAGATTTTTGGATTTCCCATCGAAGAATAGGAACCCCTGCAAACACGAGTCCCATTTTTTCCAATCGATTTTAGTAAAAAAAGAAAAAAACCTTTACACCCCATTTCATGAATTCCAGTGGAAAACGACTAATTTCCTTTTGAGCTGCGCGATTTCAGGCATTAATTTCATGTTGGTGTGAATGTTTACATAAGTGAATGTTTGTTTTTTATTAGCTCACTTTTAGATATATAGGAAAAATCATTGGTAGTTGTTTGGTCTTCTGCAATATTCACAAGTTTATTTTTCTCTCTTTATTCTCTCAACTAGCTTACTTTTTGGTGATTGAGAGAAGCAGCACACATGTGAGGATGTGTGATGTTAAAATTGTACATCATGCCTTGAAACTTATTTAGATTTTTCCTTCCTATTATTTCTTCGATGGAGTTCTTGAATATAATGTAAGGAATTGAATTAACAGCTAACTTTGTCACTCTTAAATTTGAAGTACAAGTCATGAGCAACATTATATACACTCATCTTCTGACTAATTATAAATGTTTATTTAACAAATCTCATCACTTTCTTGTGTATCTTTAGCTAAGTACTTCCTAGCGGAATTCATTTTTCTTAAATTTTATTTATATGAATTTTTAGACTCCAAACACCTAAAGTAGGATTTTATTTAATAAAATCCTATCATATCATTCCTTGCTCTAAGCAGTTTTTCATTTACTCAGTATCATAAAATATAAATACTCTTGGTTGTGGTAAACCTTGTTGCCCATCAAAAACTTAATTAGTTAATTAAAGTAGTTTATTTATTTCGGAAATACAGTTCCTTCAAGATTTAAACCCTACTTTAAGTATGCTGGAGATTTCAGCAGCATGTATTATAAATATATGTGTGACATTCGAATACAATTGTGGTATAATTATGTACTATCATCACGAGTCATAGAGTATGTCTTTGCTAATAATTGAGGTAATTGCAAATTTATGGGCTATTTTAAGTGACCAAAATCCCAAAAGCATATTAGAATTTAGAATCATATTATACATATTGGTTAGGAATTTAATGCACTCGTGAAAGTTCCACGAGGTCTACTTCTGCCCAATTTGTTGAGCTCGTCATTTTCTTATCCTTGCAATACGTTTGGCTCATTTTCTCCAGGTGTTGAGTATATTTCTTGCTGGCTCTCTAATATGACTTAAGAAAAACAAGCCCAAAACTTTGATTCCTATTATATACACTTTTGGAGGAATTGTGGCTACAAGTATACATCAATTGTTCAAGGTATAACTCTCTACTACATTTGATATCCGCGTGTGTGTGCTCGTTCTTCATTCATAAAATATATCCATTAATCAATTCATCTGTACTATTGTGGTTGATTGTTTTCCACATGTTTTTTTTTTAGTTATTTGAAACTGAGCTTGTGGCAGCTGCAAGAGGTCGTAGGATTTGAGCTCACTTCTTTGGTAATATATCGCTTTCATAGCTGGTGATCGATGCAAGTCAAATACAATCCAACAATAAATTATAGAGGATGACTGGTGCATTGAGATATTCTCAACTCAATGTTGTCTAGCTTGCTTCCCTTTCAGTTTGTTTATCAGACCTCTGGAAATGTTGTTTGTTTCACCATTTCATCTGTATTAAGATTTGTTTGATGAAATCTTTGCTATTTGATACTTTGTTGTTAATTTAATGATATGATCATAAATAATTTATTTATGTTTCACTGAACTACTACTACACCTAATATTTTTCCAAAGAGAATCTCCATGCATGATTCACTGTACAAATTTATGTCTAGGCATAAATTCTGACTTATTTTTGTTGTGATGTTTTAAGTGTTACACTTTGTTGTCTGTATGTTTTGTAAAATTTTGATTATTACAATTCAAGGTCTTCCAAAATGCTTGAATAATTTTTTTTTCTTGAAGTTTACGAAAGTAGTTTTTTTTCAATTGTGAACACCACAAAAAATACGCATAGGGTTTTTGGCTGGTGAGATGGATACTTTTATACACATAATGGCAAGGGGTAATTTTGGAAATTACTACCTTTATCCAATCAAAACTTCAAACCAAACATGGGAATGATCAAATCAGGTTGGATGTTGTATTTTTAATCCGGTAAACCAAACATGAGCTATGACCTTTTTTCGTTAATCCAAATAGTGCAATCCTGCAAGTTTTGTGCTATCCCATCCTAACCCAACCAGTGAACCAAACGAGCCCTTATCAAGTGATTGTAATTTCCTTTTGTTTGCCATGTCACTCGATATCTGACACGTCATTATATTGCTTCCAATGTCTGAAATTTCCTTATTAAAAATGAAAATTTATATTCCTAAAACATAACTCAGAACTCTATAAATACAACACTAGCAAAACGTTATCCATACTCGTATACATTGAAAAACAATTTGCAATAAGAATTTATAAGTTGAATTTTTGCATGATGGAATCATCAAGATCAGAAGTATTTCAGATGGAGCACCAACCTTTCGGAAAATTGATCCGAGTTTTGACAATTGACGGTGGTGGAGTACTTCGAGGGATAATCCCCGGAGTTATCCTCGAATTTCCTGAGTCACAACTTCAGGTATATATATATATATATATATATATATATATATATATATATATATATATATCGATCTTGACCGTATTAATTAGCTCCTGAGTTTGTTATTTTAATCAATATTTGATGCATGCATATATTTATTTCAGAAATGGACGGTGTTGATGTTCGACGGGCGGATTACTTTGACGTAACAGCGGGCACAAGCACATGAGGTCTCGTCACTATAATGCTTACCGCTCCAAACGAAAAGAATCGACCATTGTTCGCTGCCAAAGATATTAAAGATTTCTACCTTGAGAATTGTCCTGAAATTTTTCCCCAAGAAAGGTATTACTACTTTCTCTCTCTCTCGATCTCTTTCTTTCTTTATTTATTTAAATTTTGATGTATGCTAAATATTGAATTTTAGCTCCGAAATTTAACGCACTTGTAATTGGTTGTAGGGATAATCTTGTTAGTCACACAACGACAACGCTCAAGTGCTTATTATCCGGGCCGAAATACGACGAAAAATATCTTCGAGCCCTACTCAAGAAGAAACTCGGAGATACAAAATTGCATGAAACATTGACAAATATTGTTATTCCAACTTTTGATATTATAAAGATGAGCCAGACTATCTTCTCCACCTATGGTATGTTGTATGTTTTTCATACTGATTTATTGTTTATATATATATATATATATATATATATATATATATATATATATATATATATATATATATATATATATATATATATATATATATATATATATATATATATATATATA